TAGAATTATGAAAAGATGTAGGATGAAGCTTTTGAAATAGACTTTTATTACCAGCCATGTATCAGAAGCCCCAGAACCAATTATCCATGCTGGTAGATGTTGATTTTCTACCATACCTACAAATGAAAATCTACCTTCATAAGTGGACCGGAGAGGATTGAAGTCACTGGAGACACCAGGGGCTTTCATGTGGCCAAACATTTTGTGAAGATCTTCCAGTTGTTGTTTGGTGAAACTACTTGACCCTGCAGTTGTTACTAGTTGTAATTTTAATTCCCTCTTCCCTTTGGATTGAGGAGGCTTCCAATCGGCTGGCTTTCCATGTAATTTCTAGCATTGGTCCTAAATGTGACCCACTTTTTTTTCAACAATCATACCAAGGTTTGCCTCTTCGCTGCTTTGTTGTCGAGGAAGCATGAGTAACTAGTGCAAATCCTTCGGTGTCAATAGGAGCAGGCAGCATCACAGAATCGGTGGTGGTCATCTTGAGAAAAGAGGGACAATAAGGGCTGCGAAAGAAAAAAAAATGCGGATTGAAAAAGAAAAGCTAAGCTGATACCATGTAAAAAAGTGGTATGTGCAGAGAAGAAGATCATTTCTCTGTATTTTCTTGATTGTTTGATAAGAGGATGCCTATTTATAGGTTACGAATAAAGCTTAATCTAGGAAAGTATACAAAATCAGCAGTCAAATCCTTGAATGTCAGCATCCTCTTTGGGAATATAATCCCCTATTTTCTGCAATCTACTCTAGTTTAGGGAAATTACTCTATTCACACTTTGTTTACACGTATTTCTACAGATATATGTTTGCCGTGTCGATTTTTAATCCTACTTCAGCAGATTGTAAATTCATTGGATGTGATCCATTTTAGGTATTTAAAACTGAAAATTTTGGATCCAATCAATTTCTCATTTCTTCCATTCTGACTTCATCCAAAGAACTCCCTTGCTGCACAACAATTAATATGTTCATTACTATATTTAATCTTTGTTGCATTATGCATCAATAGAATTGCATGTTTCAACTTTTCATCAGGAAGAGGATGTTGAATTCTAGCTACCTCCATAGAGGAGTCACACTCTGCAGGTAGACATTCCCTTTGGAGACTGATTAAGGGGGTGATTATAAATTGCCTCCCAAATTAGGTAAATTGTTGATCTACTAGTGCACATAGGATAGAGAAAATAAGGTCCGGTCTTGTATGATGTCGGATGTTAAATGGTCTCTTCATTTTCGTTTCAACTTTTTCTCTCATAAGTTGATGCTTGAAGAATATGTTCTCTTCTGATCTATGCTTCATTATGCATCTTTAATGATTTCTTTAAATGTGAATAGACATGTCAGCCTTTAAAGCTGCAAACCCGGATTCTGTTTTCGAAGATTTTATCCGCTGGCATTCACCTGGAGATTGGGAGATGATGGAAGTGAAGCAGATGGTCCATCCAAAACTCTTACAGAGGTTGTGCAGGATGACTGGCCTCCTCAAGGACAACTTTCACAGCGGATGTCTGGCAACGGGAACTTTGTGGAGAAAGATTGGAATGATGCTCCTATTTGCCAGCATATGAGCAGAAACCACTGCTGGATCCGAACCGAGAAGGAGAGAAGGTTAGCTTGGACTTCGAAAAATGAGTTTTTTTTTCTTCTAATTGATTTTTTCTAAGAGTGCTATGTGTAATACTGATATCCCCTGCAGTTCCTTTGACCAAATTGATAATGTCATGTGTCAAGACTTTAACTGAATGGGCGTGTGACCTTAAGCCTAGAACTTATGCCTTAGCATACCTAACTCAGCCTTTCAACACTTTCAAGAATTGCATGCACTAGCAAAGGCAAATTATTAATATTAAATGACATAGTTTGTTCTAATTTTTCATATTTAGATTCGTAATTCCTGACTCTGGCAATGGGAAACTGGCATGGAACCTTTCCATTAATATTCTTTAATTATTTATTGGCGGAAGAGGTCCAAACCTGATGCCCGCATATCTTGGGTTGTACCTATATATTCATTTATATCATGATTCATTGGTACCTAAAACCTGAAGGTTGACTTCCCCAAAATGCCCTGCAACAATGCATCATTCAGTTGGGCCTTTTTTAGTGATCTCAATGAAGGCTTGACTGGAAATAGCATGGTGTTGTCACCTGACTTGATAGGTGACTTCAGAACAAAAAATTAATTTCTTGATTTTGGATTATCTCGTAAACTACAATTTTGACTTGAACTTTGCTCAAACCAGTACTTGTTTATAACTGTCAACAGTTCTTTGATTCTTTAAGCTTGATTCTTCACGGCTTCTTAAATTCTATAGATCCTCATTACCTGGAAACTGTGCGGCCCCTTCAGCTGCTTGAGCAAATGGTTGTACTGCCTTCAGAGCATCGGCTGACACACTCTGAACCAGACAAATTTTGGAAGCTTGAAGCAGATGACAACTAAAATGACCAACTTTGTCTTACTATGGCATCTACACTAAGACCTATGCAAGGTATTCTTCCATTATTCTTGCAACTTTATACTTTTTCGGAATTGAGGTCATTGAAATTTCAAATCCTTTGCATGTTGCACGGCTTTGTGTGGTCTTTGATCATGTTGAGAAGTTGCTAACACTTGCAGCTTCTCTCCGTCGTAAATTCTTACAGGCACCACGTGTCTATGAAGCTATTTTCAGTGACTACTGTGACTTTTACCGCCCAACCATGGGAATGGGCTTAGCGAATGTTGATGTTCAGAAGGTAAAGTTCTATGCCATGAATCTCCTCTCTTTTATCATTCTAGCAGAGCCCTCTTTTTTCATGGCATTGGACTGTTTCATTGTACTATTCTTGGGAAAGTCCATTTGATGTCAGTTTGGAATTATGATTAAAATAAATAAAAAAACACAATTTTGGCAGTATTGCAATCTACTGTTCCATAATGTTTGAGATCGGGAAGTAACTTGAATTGAGATATAATTTAGATTTTTTTTTTCTAATTAGAACTTTAGCTTAGAATTTGCCTGCAACTCTATTGGGTTTAACATCTCTTGTTTGCTTAGGAGTTTGACATGAAGCTGCAACTAAGGGTGAATGAGAGACAAGTTGTATCAAATATGTTTACCCCACCAACTGCCAGTCAGTCGTGGAGGAAAGTTTTAAGCATGGGCAACCTTCTTGATGGCCATGAACCGATCCGCAGGGAGATCATATTTTCGAAGCATGACAGCGGCAATGACTGTCACTATGCAGTCAGCACGCGCAGGGGCACTCGCATGGATTATCAACAGGAAATAGAAACATATCGGATGTATATATGTGGAACCTCAAATGATCTCCGGGTAGCACTTTCCGTTACCTCATACGATTGATGTATTTAAAAAATCCAAGTGAAAATGATCTATTGTTGTTTTGATGGGAAATATTATCACTTGTTGGCAATTGATTTGTCAGTGGTGTAGAATATTATTATTTGCCTGGTAAGAGTTATTTTGCTTCTCTAGATGAGTAATTTATTATCACTAACATTACTTGTCCATTTCATCTATTTTTATGGCGGTTTAGTTATTCACATAGGTTGAGAAAGAGCATCTGCCCATGAGGAGTTGACGTTTGGTTACGCAGGATTCATGATTTGATTGAACATCAAAATTTGTGATGAGACAGCTTAACAATGCACTATGTAGTGGCCAGGCTGACTTATTCTCAAGGTTAATTGAGCCGAAAAAAAATTTATACAAAAACAATAACATACCAAGTTAGATATACCAAAAACTACACTGTGAAGATATACCAAAAATAAAACATAAAAAGTAGTAGTTTATTCTTGAAACTAAATTTGCAACACTGTTTGTCTTTTGGTTGAAATGAAAATCGCAACGCGAAATGACAATCGCAACGAGATAATCGCAACGCGAAATGAAAATCGCAATGCGATTTTGGTTTCGCGTTGCGATTCTCTCGTTGCGATTTTCATTTCGCGTTGCGATTCTCTCGTTGCGATTTTCATTTCTCTCGTTGCGACATCATTCTCTCGTTGCGATTTTAATTTATCTCGTTGCGACTTCTGCAAATTGAAACTTGAATGGATTGCTTACTTCAACAAAGACAGAACAAACAAAGACAAATACTAACTTGAAAATCGCAACGAGAGAATAGCAACACGAAATGAAAATCGCAACGACAGAATCGTAACGCGAAATGAAATCTAAGTGAAATGGTTAATCTATATGAAATGACAGTAAAACTTATCAGTTTCAATATGAAAAACCTACAATAATGCAAACATTTCAAATAAAAATAATTAAAAAACTAACCCTCGGAGGTTGATTTTTCCATTTCTGAATATTGTGAGGGATTTCTGACCGTGAATGGTTGTGAGGATTTCGCCGAGATGGGACGGAAATCTTCGGAGATGGGGACGGATTTCTTCGCCGTAGAGAGTGAGAGATGGAGATGGGACTGAGTTGTGATTTTAGGTTTTAGGTATGAGTTGCGATTACGGATTTTGTCTTAATATTCGTTTTTGTAATTTGAAAATAAAATACGCGTAGCGATTATAATGGCGCTTTAAATACGCGTTGCGATTTACGGATTCTCGTTGCGATTTACGGATTATCGTTGCGATTTACGGATACGCGTGCGATATACGGATATTGCAGATTTACCCATACGCGTTGCGATTTACGGATACACGTTGCGATTTACGGATACGCGTTGCGATTTATGTGTTCGCGTTGCGATTTTCATATTCGCGTTGCGATTTTTGGAAAATCGCAATGCGAATTTGTACTATCGCATTGCGATTTTCAAGAATCGCGTTGCGATTTTGGAAACTGATTTGCGATTCTGGGGATCGCGTTGCGATTTTTATTTCGCGTTGCGATTTTGTTGGTCATTTTGGCAAATCCAAAAAAAAGTTGGTTAAAATCGTATATTATAAGGCATTTTTGGTAAAAAAAAAATTTAAATTTAAATTTTATTTTTGGGTAAAAGCCAGAGCACACTCATTCCTTCAACCTTCACCAAAATCCAACCTCTCAGACCTTCATATGCCTCAAAATCCCTTGTTGGCGCTTCTCTTTTTTCTTAGCATTGCATGCGCCCTTGGCTATACAGGTGGCGCCATTGGCGTCAACTGGGGTACCATGTCTTCTCATCCTCTCCCACCTCCCAAGGTGGTTGAGCTCTTGAAGTCCAACGACATTTCCAAAGTGAAGCTTTTCGATGCTGACCCACTTGTGCTACAAGCTCTCTCTGGCTCCAACATTCTTGTCACCCTGGGTATCCCCAATTCCATGCTCTCAACGTTGAACTCCTCCAAGAAAGCTGCTGAGAGTTGGGTCCATGATAATGTCACCCGCTACTTTTCTCATGGTGTGCTGGAGTTCGAATTGAGTATGTTTCTTGCTTTTTCTTTTGTTGGGTTTGTTGCTTTGTCTTTGATTTAAAGGCATCTATTCTTTCCTTTTCATTTATTTCTAATTTTGGGGTATATATTTTGTTTGGGCATTTGGATCTTCATTTAGTTTTGATGTTAGGGTTTTAACGGAAAATGTGGGTAGGTCAGTTACTGATTTTGATTTTCTAGGGAGTATATAAACTACAGTTTAGTAGTTACTCGAGTGAGATGCTTATAATCTATCAAAGCAAGAGGAAAGTTCTCATATTGAAAGCTATATCAATTTATGATAACAAACTAGTACTACCAAGCTTGTATTTTCAATGCATTATAGCCAAATTTGTGAATGCTGATTTGGTTTGGCATCTTTCTCTCTTAGACATTAGGCGTGTCTATGGAAACCAGATACTTGGTCGGAAAGAACTATAGAAGCCACTACAGGTTCTGTTGTATGGCCGGAACTTGACCATTGCGTTTTGTCTTTGATGATTAAGATTTTTCCAATCGGTTTGGTCACCAAATATCTACGTCTTTGGCACCATTTTCCCCCCTTCCAAACAAGTTCTATAAGACTTCTACAGTGGCATTTGGATTTTATTTTTTCCTGATAGAAGGTCAAAAAGCACTCGATAAATACCAGTAAATTCGGATTATATCATGGATAATGACCTTCACAAACATCATAGCGATGCAAAGCATTTTTTTTATGTGTCATAACGATATCGTCTTCAATAATCCATGGAACAACTCTACCTTTGTTGAGGGTTTCATTCTCATAGCTAGAGCAAAACCTTTTCTAATCTTTATGGATATGGATCATATTTTCCGTAGTAAGGTTTTTGCCTTTTCTTTTAACATGATAAGTTATGATCTAGAGTTTTTCTTTTTCTATTTATATGACTAAATAGATCTTTAGCAGGTATGTTGCTGTTGGAGATGAACCATTTCTCCTAAGTTATGGTGAGAAGTTTCACCCTTTGTCATTGGAGCTACATGAACATCCAAGCAGCTTTAACAAAAGCAAGCTTGGCTACCGAAGTGAAAGTTGTTGTTCCATGTAGTTCTGATACCTTTGTGTCAGAGTCCGGTCTGCCTTCAAAAGGACACTTCAGGACCGACCTCAACAAAACCATGATTGAGCTACTTACATTTCTCAGCAAACACCGCTCTCCTTTCTTTGTGACTATTTCTCCTTTTATAAGTTTGCAGCAGAAAAAGAATGTATCACTTGACTTTACTCTTTTCAAAGGTAATGCACATCATCAACGACAGTCATAGAACTTACAGAAACAGCTTCGACTTAAGTTATGATACCCTTGTTACTGCATTGTCAAAGCTTGGGTTTCCAGAGATAGATATAGTTGTTGCACGTATTGGTTGGCCTACTGATGGAGCAGCCAATGCAACCTCATCTATTGCTGAGACATTTATGAAGGGTCTCATTGATCACCTTCATAGCAAAACGGGAACTCCTCTCAGACCTCGGAATCCTCCTATTGAAACATTCATATTTAGCCTCTTGGATGAGGACCAAAGGAGCATAACCTCCGGAAATTTTGAGCGACATTGGGGCATGTTCACTTTTGATGGCCAAGCCAAGTACCATTTCAACATCGGCCTGGGCTCTAAAAACCTTGTGAATGCCCAATTTGTTGAATACCTTCCTTCAAAATGGTGTGTTGTAAACAATAACAAAGATTTGTCAAATGCAACTGAAAAAGCTTTGGAGGCATGTTCTGTATCTGATTGTACTGTGTTATCTCCTGGTGGCTCCTGTTTCAATATCAGTTGGCCTGGTAATATCCTACGCATTTAATAGCTACTATCAGCAGCATGATCAAAGGGCAGATGGCTGTGATTTTGGGGGGTTGGGTCTCATCACTACTGTTGACCCATCTGTTGATAACTGCAGATTTTTTGTTGAACTTCAAACTTCTCATTCAACTTTTGGTCACGAGGCTCATCTCTTTCTGTGGACAATATCTCTGGTGGCCTGCCTTTTCTCATGTTTATCGGGTTTCACGTGGTAGAGAGACGTGCTTTTTAAATTATGAAAGGCGTATTGCTGTGATATTTTTTCTGCATGGATTTAGGTTAGCTCCCAAAGCTCTGTTAATTACTGATTTTCAGCTTAAAGAGAACGAAGAAGACCAAATTGACCTCATTTTGCGTTTTGGCAGTCATTTTGGATCTGTGTTGGAAATGTTGGATCGATATCGATCCAAAGTTTGGATGTTGGACATACCCTGTTTTAGCAGTTATGATTTTGGTAATAATTAATTTCTTGTGTGAGATCAACCGTGTACTTAGTAGCCTTTTATCATGCACATTTCATAGTTTTTCGGACAGAATTTTAGAAATATATTTTGAATATTCCAAGAGGAAAGAAAGGTAAACACAAAGAAGAAACAAATAGTGATTCCGAATGAAAAGAGAAAATAAAATCCGATTTTTATTACTTTTTTTTATTAAAAAGAATCAGCCTGTTTTTATAGGATAAGAAGCAGGATTAAATAGATATGCCATTCTTCTATTGGGGTATTTCTAACACACTGCTGGTGGAATTCCATTCTTGAATCTATCTATGCAGGCATTCCAATGCTCACGCTTCCAATAATATTTGATCAAGCTTCAAATAGTAAGCAAATTGAACGCCTTCTTGTCCTTGTGTGGGTAAGATTACAAGAGTTTGTATACTTCTTCTTCCTTGCATTCTCCTTCAATTGGAGTCTTATCTTTCTTTTATCTCCTAGAGTATCTAGGTGTGCTTTTCATCTTTGTTAGAGATTGAACTCTGACATGAACATTGTGGAATTTGTTGGTAAAAGAGTTTTAAAAAGTACAAGATTTACTCACTTGTCTCGAGGTGTGTTACTTCCTTGGAGTAATTTGTGAGGTTTCTTGTTTTCTTTGATTTTTTATTTCTACTTTAAATTTTCTTTTGGTAGTGATTTTCACAAAAGACAAGAACAAAGAACTGGAGATTCAACTGGTAAAACCTGAAAACATGGCAAACACATTAGCCACACTAACAGCTACAGTTGTTGGAATTCAACAACAAATGGCCGCCATGAACAAGAATGAATCAATTCGACAATGCCAGTGATCCACCAAGACAAGATCGATTAAACATATGAGGAAGACAAGAACAAAGAACTGGAGATTCAACTGGTAAAACCTGAAAACATGGCAAACACATTAGCCACACTAACAGCTACAGTTGTTGGAATTCAAACAAATGGCCGCCATGAACAATAGAATGAATCAATTCGACAATGCCAGTGATCCACCAAGACAAGATCGATTAAACATATGAGGTAATCAACGACCTCTTTGACAAGAGATCCTCGCCTCGATGAACACTTTGACAAGATCGATTAAACATATGATGTAATCAACGACCTCTTTGACAAGAGATCCACGCAAAAGATAGAGAACACTTTGCAAAACCAAAAGTCACCATCCCTTCATTCAAATGAGACTACAATCCCGATGATACTGTGACTGGGAAAGCAAAGTTGATCTCTTGTTCTCCCACTACAATTGCCCTCAGGAAGAACATGTATCTCTAATCACCTTGGATTTCACACATTATGCGCTAACATGGTGGGCTCAAGTGAAACAAGCAGAAATCGAAATAGAAGAGCAACAATCAATCATGGAATGACCTCAAATTTCTAATGCGAAATGATTGTTTTGATCATCTACACTCGCGAAGTTAAACAAAGACTCCAAAGATTGCGACAAGGCAGACATCTATGGAAGAATACTACAAAGAGATGGAGTTATTAATGGAACGTGCAAATATCCGTGAAAGTCCGGAGGACACTTCAAATCGATTTGTAGTCGGACTCAACCCAAAATATCCTTGACCCACTTGATTCACAAAACTACGAAGACCTTGAAGATACACTTAAGAAATCATCACGATTGAAAACCAACTACAGAGAAGGTTCAATACAAAGAACAATATCAAGGTACATTATTTTCCTCCGACTCTTCTATCCTACCTTCTGTGTGAATAAGAAAACGAAGGATAAGAAAATTGAAAAGGAAAAGCCTAGAAGGGCTAAAAATGACGGAAGTTTACGACAAGCGCTAGAATTGCAGAGAGTGTCCGATGTCTCATGGATCTCGAGGACAGATAGGTGAAAAACATGAAAAAATCGTAAGAGAATTAAGGAGAATTGCCGGCAAGCACCGGCTGGAAATGGATCATCTAAAAGAGACCTGATGCTTCATCGAAGACATCTCACAAGGCCATGATGGCATGCTCAATGATAAACATAAATATAAAGCAATTGTTTTGACTTTGTTGATTGTCAGTTGGCACCAACTTTTACATCATTTGCCATCTTCATGTTTCTTTTTCTGCAATGAAGTTGAGTTGAAACTGCCTTAATTTTCAAGTCAAGAAAAATTCAAATTTCAATCTCTACCTTCACAACTCCAGAAATTTCAGTCGTTTATTATTTTGCTATGTCTAGTTGCATAGTAAAACCAAGGGCCTAAATTTGCATATATTTGGGTTCCATCAATAAAAGGAGAGGACAAATTCAATGCGGATGCAAGTAACATCATGAGGCTACTTGAAACAAAGAAGACGCTAAGATAAGACAGCCAAGAAAGACCAGTCATTCAAGTTGTTATTGTCTAATCTATAAAGTTTTCATTCATTATAAACTAATATATTTCGTTTTTTTTGAACAAAAGTTTTGTATTCGTATTATCTTACCTACTTATTGCCAACTTTTGTATATCAAATCATCTACTGAGTGGCACCTTAACCATTGACCATAGTTTTGTCTGCTTCTTTTTCACTACCCCACCATGTTAGTTATGTCACTTTCTCAAGAAAGAAACACAACATAGATTAAAAAATCCCTTTGAAAATAAAGTTTACGATCCAAGATTGACAAGTTGCTATCGGTGGTGACTCAGAAAACACTACTTTGAAGCCTTGGTTTATCGTTTTAATCCTACAAGAATATCTTATATCCACATCAGTAGTTAATTATGAATGATTTCAACCTTCGATTTCTCATTTCATCTGCTCTCAAACACCGATCGCTAAAAAATATCACCTTTCCCCAATTAATCGAATAACTCAGTGAAGTTGTAGACATGAACTCAACCGACGAGCAAACAACCACGGTGTGCCACGTGGTGGCCATGCCGTTTCCTGGACGTGGCCACATCAACCCCATGATGAACCTTTGCAAGCTACTTGCTTCAAAGAAGAAAGATATTCTCATCACCTTGTTGTGACAGAAGAATGGCTTGGCTTCATCGGCTCTGATCCCAAACCCGATAACATACGTTTCGAGACAATCCCAAATGTCATCCCATCTGAGCGCTCAAAGCCACCAATTTTCCGGGCTTCTATGAAGCTGTGAGACAAAGATGGAAGCTCCTTTTGAGCAGCTTCTTGATCGACTTGAATTGCCTGTAACAGCCATCATAGGAGATATTGAGGTTCGATGGAGCACCAGTGTTGGGAATCAAAGGAATATTCCAGTGGCCCTGTTGTGGACGATGTCGGCGTCCGTGTTTTCCATGTTCATTATTTTGACCTCCATATAAAGCAAAGCCATGCAAAAATTGATTTAATAGGTAGCCTCCCACAACAAAGAGATGCTTAATTAGTGAACTATCATTTAATTTTTGAAATTTTTACAATTATTTTTAAGTTTGTTTCTTTTTCATTCTTCCTTACAGTAGAACAGGAAGAAAAGATTGCAGGAATTTCTTCATCCAATGTAGAAGAACTTCGGACAATTTTCTATAGGGACGACCGTAGAGTCTTGGAACTTGCTCTTGACTGCATTTCAAGAGTACCACAAGCACAGTATCTCCTATTCACTTCGGTGTTCGAGTTTGAACCCCAAGTCTTTGACAGCTTAAGAGCAACCTATAATTTCCCCGTCTATCCCATTGGCCCTGCAATACCCTACCTGGAACTTAGACAAGGTTCCTGTAAAAATAAAAGCTACCTTCAGTGGTTGGATTTTCAACCGGCAGGTTCTGTCTTATACATCTCATTGGGAAGTTTCCTTTCGGTTTCAAACACTCAAATGGATGAAATTGTTGCCGGGTTGCACATAAGCGGAGTTCGGTTCTTGTGGGTGGCCCGGGGAGAAGCTTCGATGTTGAAAGAACGTTGTGGTGATATGGGGCAGGTAGTTTCTTGGTGTGACCAATTGAAGGTACTGTACCATCCATCTGTGGGGATTTTGGACACACTGTGGATGGAATTCCATCCTGGAAGCTGTTTTTGCTGGTGTTCCAATGCTTACATTTCCTCTGTTTCTGGACCAAGATACTAACAGTAGGCAAATAGTGGAAGATTGGGGAAATGGGTGGAGGGTGAATTCTGAAAAATTGGTCACCAAAGAGAATGTTGCACAGCTTGCGCGGAGGCTTATGGATGCTGAAAGCAATGAGGGAAAGAAAATTAGAAGAGCAGCAAAACAACTCCAGGATAAATGTCTAGGTGCCATTTCTGAAGGTGGATCTTCTGCAGCTAACCTTGATGCATTTATTAATTCCATTTCACTAGGAAAAGGGCAGTGATCGTTTCGTTCTTTTTCTTTTATAGTCTTGTAAGGTGGTAATTAAGTTCCATTCATAAATTGTACCACTCAATAAACTAACAGGATTAATAGTTTATCCTTGTAGCATTTCCTTGTTTTATTCTTAAGAAGATACCAATTTCAAGGTTCTTGTTCTCAAGTTTACCTGTAGAATTCTTTCGTTATCTTAGTTCCTAACAGGTTGAAAACAAAGTTGAGACATGAGCTCCTGCACTAGCGCAAAGCCATCCTGGTCAAGGCCACATTATGAACCTTGGCAAAGCACTAGTTACTGATTGAGGTGGTTTGACCAACCGAAGGTGTTATGTAATCCTCTATTAGAGAGGGTATATTTGTTGGCATTCCTCTCGTACTGGGATGAACTGAACATGTCGCAGTTATAGGCCTGTCAGTTACACTTTTGGTAGGATGAAAACATATTTCCTGTAATTGTTGCAATCCAATGATCTCTCATCGATTATTGATGAACTCAAATTTTAGCCATAAACTTTTGTGAATTGCTCTACATAGATTTTTAGTTTAGCTGAATCATGACATGCACTGATGCACACTAGAAAGGTCAACCTTATAATAACTTCACTTACTTGAGTTATTTTTTCATTTAGGCCATCTTCTTAAATGAGTTTAGCTATAGTTAACTATAATTCAAGTTTATAATTGACATGTACAAATCCAACAGTATAATTATACTACTAAATAAAATAAAACTCAAATTAAAATTGATCTCTAAATTCAGTGCATTGTTTAACAATAACATTTTCAATCACTCTAGTTGATGTATATATGTTTTTTAACTTTTTAGTAATTTAGTTTTTATTTTTAATATTTTTGTATATTTGTATATTTTAAAAGTTTAATAATTAAAAAAATTAAATAAACACATGAACTTTGAAAAAAATCAATCTAGCCCTCAAACTCAATAAAAAATCTAATTTAACTCATATGTCACGTCATCAGTCGCTGTAGATCATCACATCAGTATAGTAGATCGACACATTAACACCGTGAAGTGTCGCGTCAGTATTGTAATGGTCAATAATGAAAATCGTTGGTTAAAGCGTCACATTAGGTAATTCTTCTAAGTTTAAGGGCTACATTGAATGCAAAAATAATTCGATAGCCACATTAGCCTTTTTTTTTAGAAGTACAAGAACCTGAGGTTTGCTGAAAAATAAACTAGGTACATGAGATGTCGGGTACTCGGTTCTTCAGGTAGTATATTGTTCGCCTGTGACTATTGGGTGCCCGCTATTCCGATACCTGTAAAATCGGGTATCCAATTAACATTTTTTAAAATTTATTTTTAAAAAAATCACATAAGAAACACAAAAAATATAAAAACTCATAATACATAATCCATAAACAAAAATTAATGATTTGAAGTTAATTTTAAGGATAAATATATACATATATAGTAAAATGTATTTAAAAATTAAAAATATTAATATCAATCGTGATTTTTTCTTCTAATCTCATATTGAGAAATTAATAAAAATAATTTTACAAAACTTAAAATTTAGAAGCACATAATACAAATCTAGAAAGAATCCAGGGATTTACATTTAGTTTTAAGGTAAAAATTTTAAAGAATCTAAAATAAATATATATATATATAACCAAATTAGGTCGGGTAGATGGTAATAAAATATTTTCTACCCAAATCCGGCCTAATTACCTGAAAAAAATACAAGCCGAGTAATTTTTTAAAGAAAATTACTCATTTTTTAAGTTCGGATCAATGGGTCAGATCAACCAGATCGAGTAATTTTAAATATCCCTAATTTTAAGCCTTTTTAAAATAAATGACCAAATTTAAATAAAACAAAAATAAAAGTTACCAATATTTTTCTGTCAAAAAGTTCTTTTTGCCTAAAAACCGTAAACATGGAGAATAAACCCTTTTTCTTGGAACCCTAAATGCAACTTGGCATGTTAAACCTTCGAAACCTATTATTATTGTCAAGCAAAAGTCACGGTAAAGAAAAGCACAAAAAGGAGCAACGAGAAGAAAAAAAGCCTTTGAATTTTCTTATTTCCCATTTAGAAGAGTAGAACTTTTATATGGGTATAACTCACCCGCTTAAACCATGACAAAACCCTAATTGTCCCTACTCTTCATTCCTAAAACCCCAATTTTTACGTCAATTCTTTATTCTTGATGGCAACAGAAGCTACAACTGCAAATTTCCTAAATTCAGACTTCAGGCCGGTGCCACAGCCACCGGATTTTCACCCAGAAATTCTAGTAAGCCCCCACGACGGGCTCCACTTTTGGCAGTTCATGATTGCCGGCTCCGTCGCGGGCTGCGTGGAGCATATGGCTATGTTCCCTGTTGACACCGTCAAGACCCATATGCAAGCCCTGGGCACTTGCCCCATCAAATCGGTGGGTGTACGTCAGGCGTTTTGTTCCATTCTCAAATCTGAAGGACTCCCGGGCTTATACCGGGGAATCGGGGCCATGGGACTTGGGGCTGGCCCTGCCCATGCCGTGTACTTCTCTGTATACGAGGTTTGCAAGAAGCATTTTTCTGGAAACAACCCAAAAAACTCGGCAGCTCATGCTGTTTCCGGTGTTTTCGCAACCGTAGCAAGCGATGCCGTTTTTACACCTATGGATATGGTGAAACAGAGGTTACAGTTGGGCAATAGTGCTGCTTATAAAGGGGTGTTTGATTGTATTAAGAAAGTTCTGAAAGAGGAAGGTTTTGGGGCGTTTTATGCTTCTTACAGGACGACAGTGCTCATGAATGCTCCGTATACGGCAGTTCATTTCGCAACTTATGAGGCGGTGAAAAGGGGTGTGATTGAGATCTCACCAGAGAATGCAAGTGATGAACGGGTGATTGTCCATGCAACGGCTGGTGCTCTTGCTGGGGCTTCTGCTGCGGTTATCACTACACCACTTGATGTAGTCAAAACTCAGTTGCAGTGTCAGGTAATTCAATCTTTGGCCTTTACCCCTACAATGAGCTGAAGCTGTAATCAGTTTATTGTAAGCTATAGTAGGAGATCTCGTTTAGTAGATGGCGTTAGTGGAAACTTCTATGCATTGATAATGAAAAGGGAACCCGGATATTCTGGTGTTTTGATGTGAACATAGTTAATTCTTTGTTTTCGTAATTGAAAGCTTACAAATGCTGACTCGTCTGTGTTTTCAGACAGATGATGTAATTAATTATTTGCTTTTAGGCTAAATCCTTTATTCATCATCGAGTGCTTCTTGAAATCCTCTAATGAATTGATGGTACGCTTAAATGATTAAGAAGGGTTTAATTGACAATTGTCCCCTGCCTTTCAGGTTTGCTTTTCTAGATCATGATATTCAGTTTTCTTAGTGCTTTATCATCTTTTATCTAGTTAACTGAACCAACATCTTGAAAATGATGCTAGAAGTGAGAAGATGCAGCATCTAGTCTTAGTTACTGATGGAGAGGAAATACTAAACAGCTAAGAATTTGAAAGAAGAAGATAAACCTAATTGAATTAGGTATAAAGAAACAAGGTTTTGGGATTTTCCAGCAACCGATTCTATTAACATTCTCTCGATGATTCTTTCGATGATGATAAAAACTGCACATAATAACCTTTAGTATAGTATTTATAATAAAACTCACTAAAAGTCCTATTTACTCTGGTGGAATAGTTGTATTGGAACTCTAAGGGTCTTATGCTAATCACAAATATTTAAAAGAACACAAGATAAACTAAAAAAATCTTGCTAAAAAACTGATAACAAAAGGCTGATCCTAATAACCAAATAATTAAATTAAACTTTTATGCCCCTGAATCAGTTACTACCTGACAACAGATAATTGAGACCATTTCTCTCGAATTGAATGCTTGTAGCATTCTTCTGAGTTATGTTTTAATATCATGTGCAGGTTTTCCTTTTATTTGATACGTGAGTAGTCAAGTGCTTGCTCATAAGGTCTTAATTTTTTGTCCATCCTGCTTGGCGCTCTCTTTCACTGACTTTTGATGGGTTTAGACAAAATATGATATACATATCTGTGTATGCATCCATTAAGATATATTTATGCTTAATGAGCCAACTTTTAAATTTGATTATTTATGCATTTTGCTTTGCTGACTGTTTAGTATTGTTATTAAAAATTGTATAACAGGGTGTATGCGGGTGTGATAGATTTAAGAGTAGTTCTATTGGGGATGTGGTTGAAACAATTGTGCGAAAGGACGGCTACAAGGGCCTCATGAGGGGATGGATTCCCCGAATGCTTTTCCATGCTCCTGCTGCTGCAATCTGCTGGTCTACATATGAAGTATTGTTATTAAAAATTGTATAACAGGGTGTATGCGGGTGTGATAGATTTAAGAGTAGTTCTATTGGGGATGTGGTTGAAACAATTGTGCGAAAGGACGGCTACAAGGGCCTCATGAGGGGATGGATTCCCCGAATGCTTTTCCATGCTCCTGCTGCTGCAATCTGCTGGTCTACATATGAAGCAGCAAAAACTTTCTTCCAAGAAATCAATGCTAGCACTGAAAGTGGCACATAAGTAAGTGCAACTCTGCAGCTGCATGAGCAACACCAAAAGCAATGGGAAAGTTTTGCTTCACACGATGCATGGGAAAGCAATGCGTGTACTTTCAAGCATGTCACAGGTCAATTTAATTGGCATAGAAAGAGTGTATACGTTGTTATTTGTTAAAATCAATTGAATAGAAATGTCAATGGTCAAATTCTAGCCAGGATACTATAAAATGGTCAGATAATTTTTTTTCTTCTGGTTTCATGAAAATAAGAGGTGGGATAGTTTAAGTTTTGAGGCGGAAGATTCAAGTATTGAAATTGAGATGTTATTTCCAAGCGCAAAATTATGTGCTAGTGTTTGTTGATTAGTTATGAGATTTTGAATTCTAGAAATGTGGATCACCTGCCCTTTGGCAGGATGGATGTTCGGTGCATAAAAGTGCCCAAAGGTGCTGTGAAAAAGAAGCAACCTGAGCAGGAAAGGGAAGGTGAAGGTAGGCTTTGTGATGAGCGAAAAGGCGTCATCAACGATAGCTTGGGAGATGCTTATTAAACGTGGATTGTATTGGCGAATGCTACAAAGCTAGCTAGAGCGTAGACTAATATATAAGCGTGGCTAATTCACTATTGAAATAGTTGCAAGAATAAGAAATATTACTCGAAATCAAGCAATCATGTCATATGTTTCTTTACGTTGGACTTGGACAAAAGAGGGGAAAGAAATATAATTATTAGGCAGACATGAAAGCTAACCACGTGCCATAATCAACTTGAGCTTCTCAGCAACATGCTAAAATCGAAATCTTACACGTGCCAGAAATATTACTCGAAATCTCTCTTTTGGTTTACTAAAATCCGCCTTTTTCTTCTTCTAGTTCAACATATTTCTTGATGATGATTCAATCAACTTATACAACTCCAGCTGTAGTTGAAAGTTGAAACCATATGCATCCTGTAATGTAAACATTATTACATAGAAAGCACTCTTACTGACTAATGCCACTGATACCTCATTTTATCATAGAAACAGAAAGAAAAATAATCACTCATACCTCAATATTTGCTTCCTCTTGGTTATAAATAATCAACAATCTGAAGCTCGCTGAATTTGTCCCTTTTGCTCGTTATTACCCTTGCTTTATCGTCTCTTATTTCTAAAACCTGGTCAACACATGTCCACACAAATTCGCTCTCAACTCAACTTTGCATTTTACAAAAGAAAATCCATAAAGAATCAGGCGCTTAATGATAAATGTTTTTCCAAGGCGACGATAAATTCACAAGTCAGGTTTATGCAATCTCAAGTTGACAAGTCTACAAAATCCATTAAGACTATTTTTCTTTAGAGACTGAAAAATACTGGTATATAACTATATATTTAGCTCACCTCTGGTCTGGAATTAAGAACTCCACTGGACATTCCCACGTCAATGCGCCATATACTGCAATTGTACTCACTGCAGGCAAGGCTAGATGTCAATAACCATATGTAGAATGGATCAATTCCTTGCACAGAAAAACTGGCTCTTACTAGTTTAAACAACATTTTCAAAAAAGTTTGCATACCAATTTGCTCCTGAGTATTGTGGTGTGTGGCCAACTACCATTGCCTTAGCTCCTACTGCTTGCAGTGTCTCTTGAAGGATAGCATTTATCTGCTGATGAACAAGTAACTTGAGTTCTTCAAGGCAAATATGAGTATAGAAAATGTTAGTTGGTACTTGCCTGGTTAATCTGATAATCATTCAAGTCTGAAATATCTCTAGAGTATAAGCGGTTCCAAACTACACTATCATAGCCTTTGGTGGCTATGAATGGCATGTGAGGACTACTATCCTCTTCAATGACACCTCTCATCCACTGAGATACTTCCATGTTCATCCTCTCTATGCCATAAGCAACTGTGCAAGTATCAAGACTCCTATCAGAGATTTCAGAACAAAAGAAAAAGAAACAACTTCTTACATATTATTTGATGAATGATAATGGTTTTACTAAACTGGTTCATGCTAAATGTAAGTTGATATTTTTACCATGGTGAGGAAGGAGGCCACCATGACAGAAAATCCAGTCATTAACCTTCAGAGCTACAGCATGTTGTGCCAACTCACACGCTAGTGGACCACCTGGTCTTAACAGAACTGATCTGGCAATCACCCCCTTTTGTCTCTGTCCTAATAAATAATTTGACATCGTTATCAGAATGACATTTAATAAATATACTAATAAAGAGCCATTAGAAAGTGTCTTTTAACCCTATATTATGGGATTGTACAAGTAACTAACAAGAAAGAAACACTACAATAAGGATTTAGATGAAATAGGAAATGCAATCTTATTTATGATCAGTGACACTTTCTTTAAGGAACAAGAGAAGACTAAGTGATAGGAGTGAGAGCTCTAGTACCTTTACCAGATTCCATGGGCCCCAATTGTTTCTGGAAATCTTCCGTTCATCTTTCCATCTTCTTGACAAGCCACACCAACCAACAAATGCTTCATCCCAGTCATATTCATAGTCATTCATGTATTCCAGGAAATCAGCGCACTCATCAAAAGCACCAGACTCGACATATCTAAAATCCCCTTCCACATTCATAGTTTCATGGTTTCCATTGACCTGTATCAAGGAAAAGACTATCAGCATTCTTAAATTGATACAGTATTGTTGCATGTGTAAAGAATTAGACATGATTGATATGTAAGCTGGATTTAAGACTGCAGCAACTAGAGCCTCAAAAATTGATTTGCAACATGCACTCAGGCAGTTCTACTTTTAGCACCACAAACCTGGAAAACAGCTCCACCGTTAGCCTTTGCTTGTATATCTAATGATCTTAACAAGGATAAGATAGCTATTTCCTCATCTCCCCGATCAAGCACATCTCCTAGCTGAATCAGTACCTATTTTCTCAAAGAGAAACAAACATAGGCATCAGATGGAACTCTGAGTAGAGAAATAAATCCATACATAGAAGAACAACATTACAAGAGATAGAGTATAGAATATAGTTGTATCATCCATTATGATGATAAGAATACCGCATCTCCTCCCGTCCATAGGTCTTCACCGTTCGAACTCAAGACACCAGCCATCTCAAGAGCATATCTTGCTTGGTCAAGGTCTCCATGTAGATCTCCAACTACATACGGAAGTATATAAAGATATACATTATATCATCAAATTTGGAAAATGACATATAAATGTAATCGAATTACATATTCCTGTGGTCTGAGAGTCCAAAAGTCAGTCCTTCAACAGTATTCCTGACACCACCCTTATTTCTGTTCGTTTATGTGATCAAGTTTGGTAAATGACAAATAAATGTTATTCAAAATTTAACTGGTTTCAACTGAATGTACTCTCATCCACCATTGGTCATAATTACAAATAAAACGATTATGTCTTCCATTATCATGTTTAACGATATCTGATATTTTCTTTGTTAAGTGTATTTAATTACCAAGTCCAAGTACCACCCAACAAGATTTCTCAAAGCTACCAACATGAACATAGTTAATCAAGTGGTAGATCAAATCAGAGAAGTTGAACATGAAATCGGAAAATTAACTTACATTACATGGAGCAATAGCAAGTTAAAAGCAAAAGAGAGAAAAAAAAACCTGCAACGATACGGCGACCAGGAGCAGAGACAAAAGTGGGAGGATTTCCGTTGACAACAATGGGCTTCAAGGCAGTTCCGATACAACCATTACTAAAAGAAGAGCACGTTTCAGTAAGCTTTTTGGGGTATGAAGAAGATGGAAGTGGCAATGAATTCAAGCATAGTGAAACCATTGCCCTGACTCTGCTTAATTTTTTGTGAAGAAAAATGGAAAAGGAAAATAAAGGGTTTGTTTTCTTTGCTTAGAGTTGCCAAACTAATTTAAGTTTCTCTGCCAAGTATTTGGTTTTACGATCTTTGCTCTTTCTGCGTTTTAGATATTTGTTCTTTTTCTTTTTCTTTTTTTCTGGCTGTGGATGGATTGGATATTTGGATATTGCCAATTTCCATTGTAGATTATTTGATAGCGTAATAATTGTAGGGTAAAGTACTTCTTTGCCATGTCAACTCTACCCAATTCATCAAATGTTATACAAATATCTTTTTCATTTTTGTGAACTCTGATAACCGATAAGTGATTTTTTTTTTTGGTTTAATACAAAATTAAGTGTCTAAATTTTATTTTGAAAAAATGTTTTAGTGCATAAAGAAATTTTCATTAAAAATAGGTGTCTAACGTTTTCATTGGAGATTTTTTTGTGTCTGGACTGTGGCGGCTGTTAAATTTGACCATACAAAAACTGATAGTTTAGGTACTAAATTCGTAGTTTACCCTAAAATTAATGATCAAAGATTCATTATTTTTTTAGTTTTACCTTTAATCTTTAAAAAAATAAAAAATATTATTTTAAAATTTATAAAAGAATTTTAAATTAATAAAATATTAACACGTGAAGTAATATTAAAAAATTATATTTTTAAAGTCCATATGCAATTAAAAGGAAAAAAAGATGATAAAAACATTAAAAAATAAAATTCATTAACACAATTCTAAACGAAAAAGAAAGCCTGAGTTAAAAAATTGTAATAATATTCTTGGTACGTATTAAAAAAAATAAAGGATCGAAACATAAGGAACATAGCCTAGCTAGAAGTGTGATCAGCAACATCGAGCAAATTGAAAATGAAATGGATATAAGGAGTTTTAGTTTCATGTTCTTTATAAAAATTCGGAAGAAACCCAAATCCACCATATTTCTCTAACAATCCTTGGAAGAATTCAATGTTCTTCATGGAAATTGGGAAGGTGTAGATGTGCAAGGTAGCCGGTATGTAATTACTCGAAATTTTTTGTCAAAATTGAAGTGTTGACTCCTGTCATATTCCTAATCTATAAACAACATCCAAAATGGGGCTTTTGATTGAGTCGTCATATGCATTGTATTATATTGAAGTTTATAAACGACATCCAAAATTTTATAACGAAGGAATGAATGCATATTCATTCAATAGCATATTTGTATTCCTAATTTGCTGATGATGTTGGTTAGCATAGGAGCAGAGCAGGAAAAAGCAATATTACAAGAGCATAAAACGTAAACAAACTAGTACTGCTTTATCTGAACAAGGCAATAGATTATGTACATATCGTAATTCGTATCAGGAACCAACAAAGTAGCTTCCACCTTCATTCATCTAGGCGTGATGGAGGGAATGACTCCACTTACAAGGTCACTACCAGAAACATCCGATGACACGTAGGGATTCTTCACCATTGATGATGATGGGGAGGAGGATGGTGGCGTCATCTTTTCAGCTACGGTGTCAATGGATTCTGAGACCCCCATGTCTGACTCTGGCATCATCACCCAAATATTTTCAAGTTCACGAACCACATCTGCCATTGAAGGTCTACAGTCTGTCTCGTCTTGGCAACATTTGAGGGCCAATGTCAAGAACTTCTCCACACATTCAGAAGGATAAGAACCCATTCTCCCATCAATCACCGAGAATACCATACCCGATTGATATGCAACGTTAACCTGATACCCATTCAAACTAACATTGATATTATGGAAAACAAATACGAAAACAATGAGTCGGGAGAGGATATGACAATCATCAAATATTAAAAATGAACACGTCACTAATGCTCCATAAGGACACAAAAGCAACCATCAGAAGATATGTATTCCCAAACACTGCTATTTTCTCTCTTTATTTTATTGGAAAGAAAGTACATGTAACCTACATCTCACTTGCTCTAATAATCCAATAACTTCCATTTTTTACCTAAAATTTCCCATGTGAAAGAGGAGGGGGTACTGAAACCAAGATCAAATTTCCAGCGAAGACCATATTGATAGAAGTAAAACTTTACCTCTCGAACAATGTTCTTTCCATGTGAAATCGGTTGCATCCCGGTCAAAAGCTCCAGAAATACAACACCCAGGCTATAGACATCACTCTTGTCTGTCAATTTATGTGTTAGGAAATACTCAGGATCGAGGTAACCCTGCCACAAGAAAAGCAAATATTAGAGATGGATATAATAGACATATTTGATCACATCCTGATAATTGCAAGTCAATTCACCTATTTTAAATTCCAGCTCTTAGCAGTTTTCTGGTGCGCCTTTAAAAAGTATGGAGGAGGTATTTCATCATCTTACACCAAACTCTAGCTTGAATTATGATTTGTTTCTATTATTATTACTTTCAAAATTTTCATTTTGCCATCTAAAGATTCAGTACTAAATCAATGCTGTTTCAATCTATAAAAAAGTGGTGATGTAGTCCGAGATAAGAGGAATTGGACCACATAAAAGAAAAAAAGAGAAAGAAATAGAACCAAAACTAGGTCTCTTATGAAGCTACAGTTCATAGTTCCATCTTTCTTTGAAATTATCAACACAAGAGACTTACCGGTGTCCCCTTTACAACTGTAGATACATGAGCAGGCACTGCCCCTTCCAAATCTGGAACTGGGGCAAGTCTTGATAAGCCAAAATCAGCAACCTTTGCAGTGAACTTTGGATCCAATAATATGTTGCTGGCCTTGATATCTCGATGGAATATGGGAGGATCTGCTTCGGTGTGTAGGTAGAGGATTCCCTTGGCTGAACCAAGGGCAATTTTTAATCTCATTGCAAAACTCATAGGCTCTTTACAGTTAACTGTTATATCATATGAACATAGCATTAGATCAGAGCATCTAATATAGGCATAAAAAATAGCAAGATCAGTAAAAGTGACTTTTGCATTCCTTATTTTAGTAATTTATCAAAAAGATGAATTACCCGAAAGATGATCCCTTAGAGTGCCATTTGACATAAACTCGTATACTAACATCTGAATGTGCAAAATGACTTCTATTAGATTTTCTCCGTACGATATCTTCAACAAATATAAACAAAGATAAAGAAGAGCCAGTCTTACTATATTGTAGCACATAAAGGTTGGAGTTTAGCATTACTCATAAAGAATGAAGTTAGAACTTAGAAGAAAGAATTAACCTTAGTCGAATATGACAAAAGACCCAACTCTAAGCTTATTAAACCTGTAGTACCTCTCGCTCTGTGTGCATGTATCGTCTCATTTTATTTTTTTGGCAACAGTTAACGATGGCAATTCAAAATGGTTTTACATCTTTCACTTTTGTTTTTGATTTAAACAGTTTAAAATTCTTTGTTTGATTGCTTTAAGTGCATAAGTGAACGGAAACTGTAAAACAATGGCTCCTCTGTCATATTGCTGGCCAGGCAAATGGGTTTGAGGGTACAAGGGATTCAACTGAGGATAACACAGGTAATCAGAATTTCCGAAGTGATAGTTTATAGAAAATGTACAATATACGTGATCCATAGCAGATGAGTGAAAGTACCTGCTCGCCTTCTTCATCACAATATCCAATCAAAGATACAAGGTTCCGATGGTGTAATCTTGACAATAATTGAATTTCAGTAAGGAACTCCCTTTCACCCTGTAATGATCCCTCTTGTGCACGTTTTATGGCTACTACCAAGCCATCAGCCAAAGTTCCTCTATAAACCTTCCCGTACCCACCTTGGCCAACTTGTGCGGAGCTGTTAAAATTGTTTGTTGCCATAGCCAATTCCGTGTAAGTGAAACTCTTGACACCATCTATCTTGATTGGCGCTCTCAAAGCTGTAAAGAAAACAGGCTCAATGTTGATAGCAAATTTGTGTTACACTGGTAAAAAGGATCTTTGGATGGATCCATCTTTTAACACACACTATCAAGTTTCTCTAAAAAATAACTAAATCTAATATATAAGAAAGAAACAGGACAATTTTTTTAAGGTAAACAGGATGATATTTGGTGAAAAGAAAACTATAAGTGGAGATGGCAAATGGGCAGGTTCAGGTTTGGCTTTCTTCAGGCTTGGGCTAGACTGGCCAATTTTTTATGTTATGGAAAAATCCAACCGTTTCAGTATGCCTTTTACATTCAGGCTCGGGTTTTTTTTCCCTTTCGGATCGTTTCTTGTTCAAATGTTTGGAGTCAGGTCTTTGAATTTTGGGTCAACTTGAGTTTGGGCAGGTAAGGAAAGAAAAAGTGTTTTCAGATGGGTTCAAGTTCAGTCCATTTTGCCACCTCTATCTACAATCACTAAATCAATCTCCAGTGTATACACAAAAATAATTTCAAAGGCATGATGCTGATACTATTTTTCCTTTCTAGGAGTATGCAACATATCATAACTGGAAAGTAGGGTTTTCCCTTATTCATTTCAACAAAAGCAAGATAAATAAAGTCCAAAATCAATCACAAATTTCCAGATAAAGAATTGAAAAATAATTCAAAATGCCAAACAATAATTTTTATCACAGATTACATAATGTCTAAATGGAAATTGCATTTTTTCATAGTTAGCCAATCCTATTATAAAATTTTACTATACTCACTTTGACGACGTTTTGAAATTACACGGTAGTTCCTCAATCGCACTCTCAAGATTAAGAGAGTGACAACTGCAGATAATGTAACTGCAACAGCAATACCCCCAAGTACAATACCAATCAGTGCACCCGTACTTATACCAGATCTTGAAGTGGTGACAAACACTGCAACACCAATGAGAAGTCAGAGTTATGCACACAAATAGACAACAAGCAGCAAATGCTAGGTTTATGTCATATCTACATGGGCAAGTCATAAGTGTGACATTATCATAAGCAATACCAACTCTCTTCCAGGTTGTAACCATCCCAATTGTGGTTGGCGCAACATATAATATCTAGCTAGATCCTCTTATTTTTGAAGATCATTTTAAAAATGGAAACTTTGTAAGAGCATAAAGTGCCTTGATTAAGATTTTCTTTAGCAGACAATCAGAGAAAAGGTTTATGATATAAATACCAATGTTAGCCATTAGAACTGAAAACCATCTCACCGCAACGAAGGGTCAATTAAACTATTTTTCTAAAGTTTTCCTCCAATTCAGAGGACATGGAAATGTAAATCACAGAATCATCAAATTATGAAGAGTTTCAATGCCTTCCGAGTTACGCATAAATTGTAGAGAATATAATCATCAAATTATTAAGGTTTATGGTAATATAACCATAATGTTGTTGCTCATGTCTTCATAGCTCAATCCGGCCGTCCAGAAATTTATTGGAAATCATAAAAGTCAAACTTTAAACTAAATTATTATGGTATACTTCAAAGTTCGCATTTGTTGCGTGTATAGCCCATAAAGTTGCAAAGAAAATATAATCATGTAATAGATGGGTTTTCAAGACAAACCGTCCCTATAGACGTCCAGCAAAGTGAAGTTGAGGAGTTCGTATGGTCCAAAAATATCGCTATCTGGAATATGCCATCCCGTGAACATTCCCCTGATTCGCTGAACCTCGTTTCTATTGAACAAACCAGTGTTGTTGCTGGCATTATAGACAGGATAGAGCTTCAAGTACATTTTCACTCTGGGTCCTTTTTCCCATTCAAACGAATCAATATATAGCTGATTAAAATCCAATTCAAGACCAGCGATAAGGTACTCCTCAAATTTACTTATATATGGGACAAAATCTGAAAAGCCAGGACTCTTCAACCGGTATCCAACAAGAAGAGGTGCAGCACAAAAGCAAGATAAGTTAGATGTAGGTGAATATTCTAAAGGGAAGGGGCACGACTGAGGTGGACAGGCAGCAGTGGAGTTTGTTGCAGACTGATTTCTAACAACATTATCACTTCGAGATGCACACGGCTGGGGTAAACTTAAGTTGTTATTTGTGCACACAGGATTCCCTTTGAGCCTGAAATTGTTTGCATAATTAATCCAAGAAGTGTAGTAATAATTTCAGAGAGGCAACATCGTTGTATACATTAAAAGTACCCAAAAAAAACTGAATTTCCATCATGCAAACGCATGTGTAAAGATATATTTTATTACTGATGAAGAAATCATGCACATAATATGCATGCTACTCATTAGAGATAAACATTAAAAGCGAGTTTAGAAGCAAACCAGAGAGTGACATTTGGAGGGAGGTTAGTGCTGCCTGAAATATCAGTAAGCATATTGTTCTCCAAATCCCTGTAAGTGTCAATGAGCCAAAGACCAAAACTTAGTGAAAAAAGATCCTAAAAATGATGATCGAACATTCTAACAATTTTTTGCACTTTTAACCACAGAAAAAGAAAATTCCAACAACAGCACACGCAGACACATAAGGCTACTGAAATCAACCAAGAAATTTAAACATTGCGGCTCAACATATTAGCTCCAAAATCTTTGAGGTGCAGAGAGTTGACAGAATGGGAAAAAAACTAAAGCGCATCTGCTCTTTTTGGTGCTTACACAATAAGACTTTCTGTTGCATTCAAAGTCTTGTTCTGCCAAAGGGAGGACGGAATGGATCCATTCAATAAATTATTGGCAAGTGACCTGCGATGAGAAATAGTTGGCAACATAAAAAAAAACTAAAATTCGTAAAATAAGAAGAAGAAAAAAAGTTTGTCTAGAAAGGTAAAGGAAAATGTTAAAGGCTGTAATTAAATTATATTGAATTAAATGATTTATATTATAGTAATGTATTCTTGGGTTACAAGTTAGATATTTAATTTATGTATTTTCTTTATCTAGGCCTAGTATTCGTGTATATATATCATGTTTCCTTGCAAAATGAAACTAGATTTTTTCTTCCATTACTTTTTCCCCGTAACATGGTAATCAAAGCCTATTTTCTCTGATTTTCCATTTTTTCCAGAAAATTTTCCCCAAATTTTTATTTTCCCATTCTACTCCTCCCCTTCGTCAACCACCATCCATGGTGGTCTTTGGGTGTCACCACGTCGTAAGGAGGTGCGCGACTTGATTTTCGGATGGTCTGGCAAATTTAGCCACCTGATTCCCAACGGTTTTGGTATTTTGATTGATGTTGTTCGGTACCAACACTCGACGTCACACCCGACTAAGGGGAGCATGAATGAAAAGTCTTCGTTCTCCCACCCATTGATCCATAAATTAAAAAATAAGTATCCAAAAATTTTAGTACTCTATTTCAACAAAATAAATATATAATTTTTTTATTCTTTTATATTTCTTTAATATATTGAATTTATTTAATAATTGATCTAAAATAATGGATATACATCTGGTCCCTACAAAGCCAAATACATCCGCCCGTGTTCTCCTCTTCTCATCTCTCGAATAAGCAATACCATTCCACCCACAACAAAATCAACAAGTATCCATGTTCTTTGTTCTCCTCTTTTGATGTGATTGTGTCCATTGCATCTATATAAGCATTAGGCTTAATGTAAAAATAAGTGTCAAATTATATCTTAAGTTAACTTTAAGTACATAAAGAATTTTTCGTTAAAAATAATTGTCTAATATTTTCTCCGTTATATTTTTAGGTGTCTAACGTTCATGATGTTATACTTTTAGGTGTTTGGATTGTAACGGGTCGTTAAAAAACACAGTAATCTAACATGAGCCAGGCATATAAAATTTATTTTTTAAACACTTAAAATTAAAATTTATTTTAAATAACTCAATATTTTATGAAATTATAAAAAAATAAAAATCTCGAAAAACTCTAATTTCAACCATTTACCACCGTCGGCTGCCACCATTACCGCCAATCGATCAAAAACCTAACGGTGTGTGACTGCCCAAATCCCCACCGGTTGAACCCTCATGCTTCACATGGTGATTGCAGCGAAAAATTGACGATCGCGACGTGAAAAACCCCTTTAAGCCAATTGTGTAATCTTGTATTTACACTACTGTTGGGTGTTCGGTCGGTCGTGAAAATAAGGGGTTTCAGTCGTTAGGTTTAAAATAAGGGTTATAAGAGATTTTGAGTTTTTTTGGTAATTTTATAAAATCTTGAGTTTTTTTAAATAAATTATAAATTTAAGTTTTTTAATTTAAATAAAAAAAATTAAAATTTTATAAACGTGACACGTGTTACTTAATGGCCGAATTTAACGGCCGTTACAGTTCAAACTCCTAAAAATACAACATTAAAAACGTTAAACACCTATTTTTAACCAAAAAAAATTAGACACTTAAAATTAACTTTAAGTATACTTTGAACACTTCTTTTTACATTTCTTTTTGCATTAAGCCTAAACATTAAACAAGCAGTATAACGTTTTTTCATTTTTTGAATATATTTTTGGGTATATCTCTGTGCATATCCTTCAATGGCTTTGATTATCTTTAGGATTTATTTATGATATCTTGTCGATGTCATATAACACTTATGATTTAGATTTTATCTTTCATAAGGATTCTTGCTATTAATAATATCGTTATTATTTATATAAAAATATAATATTAAAATTTACTCTTAATGTGTGATAAAACAATCATTTGGTCTATATCATTTTTATAAACTACTTTGGTCTCTAATATTTTATATTAAGACAAAATATTCATACTTGATGAAAATTACTAATTTATTAATAATCAACGTTTGTTGTCGACATGACAAGTCATGTATCTAAAAATAATGATGTGATATGCGTTATGTCATCACTTATGAATACGTGACGTATTACATCATCACTTATACATATGTGACATGTGTCTTCAAAGAGATATGTATCATGTTATCACTTTGAACACATAACATATATCATGTCATCACTTTAGACACATAAGATTTACCACGTAATCACTTTAGACATATAAGATTTACCACGTCATTGACAATTGTTGGTCGTTAGTCAACTAATAGTTTTCATCTAGTTGGGAAGCATTTTACCCTAAAATCAAATGTTAGAACTAAAGTGCTAAAATCAAAGTGATTATTTTATTAAATGTTAAAGTAATTTTTTTTTGACATTATATCTTTTATAAAGAAACAATAAAAGTAAATTGTCGAGTCGTAATCCAGTGTAAAATCAAAGTATAGAGCTATAGTACAATCCACATGTGAAGTCATGTGGATACATCTAAATGAAGTTGGCTTGGAACATCAATGATCGACAAAATTTTATGTAACAATCAAGCAGCTCTGCATATTATCTAAAATATAATATATCATGAGAAAATCAAACATATCGATTGTTACTTCATTCGTGAAAAATATTTAAACAACATGAATAAAGCGAAAAAATTTTAGACAACATAATCTTTATTGGTTATGTGAAGAGAAAAAGAAAAACATATTATTAGTTTGTTCACAAAGACATTGAGAATTAAGTTATTTATTTGTGTGATAAATTGGACATAATTAATGTATATACTCCAATTTGAAAGGAGTGTTAGCAATTACATTAAATTATTTTTTATATTATTATGATTTATTCTTAGATTACAAGTTATATATTTACTTCATGTTTTTTCTTTATCTAGGTCAAGTATTCTTGTATATATATTATGTTTCCTTGCTGAATAAAATTAGAGTTTTTTTCCGTTACTAATTTCTCGTAACAGAAAACAAAGAAAAAAGTCCTTACAGTTCTTGAAGAATAGGTAGGCCCGAAAAGTTGACAGGAATGTTTCCAGTAAGTTCATTGTTGGATAAGTCTCTGCACATTATTTATGTAAAAACATTGGTACAATAGTCCACAGGATTCAAAATGTTGTAGATGCTTTTGGAACATAAAAACTCTGAGATAAGCAGATTGGAAGATTAAGATCTTACATGGTTGTGATATTCTGAGAAAGCTGATTTGTAGGTATGGTACCATTAAGCCGATTTGAACTAAGGTCTCTGAAATTTAATATGATAAAGAGGAGAAATAAAGCATTGGGTCAGTTTTTTAAATGGGGAAACCATAACATAATACAATTACTTGGGATAAAGCAGAAAATATATGAACTTACAAATAACCAAGTTGGGGTATCGTACTTAGATCAGGTATTGGTCCTTGCAAATTACAGTTCCTGAGGCTCCTGATAAAGCCAAGTGATGCAGAAAGACAACCAGTTATACGATGAGAAAGTTCTCTGAATTTTTATTATGCATTCAAATGCATGCGTAACCGTCACCAAGTCCAAATAAAGCTTCTAAAACAATAAAGGTTTAAGGACTAGTAATTTAGCACGTGTAACTTCTTCAATAGAACCTTCAAGAAGAAAAACTTTTTAAGTAGATACTTAATTGGCACAAGTATGATTTCAGAGGTGGAATACTATACCTGTTCTAAATTGTATAAATATGTTTTAATACATTTAATTTTCTTTTCAATCTTAATATATTTAAATATATATTTGTGCATTACATTGCTTGCTATTTTGTCAATGCATACTGCTAATTCAATTTTGTGCAGTAGAATCTACATACACGATGACAAATAGAATCTATTAACGCTTAAATGCCTACATCTTTCTTGCAGCTTACAAAATAGAACAGAACTGTAGCACTATGCTTCCCAGTCCCCATCACTTTATAAACTTTCAGTAAACAGAAAATCCAAACGAATACTTACAGTTTCAACAATTTAGACATATTGCGATAAGAAGCTGGAATTGTTGTCCCTTCAAAGTTGTTGTTATCAAGTTGACTGCAAAAGGTCAAGAAACATTTAGAAACTGAGCACTACTCGTGCAGTATTATACAAGGTACAGTTTTGTCTTTTGCAGAAAAAAGAAACCATATAAGATGTACAGTATATGGAAAGAATAAGAACAACCAGATGAAAAAAAATTTAAATAAAAAATTCATAGAAAAAAGTACTCTTTAAACTTCAGTTTTGCTCAGAACGATTCTCCTCACAGCGCTAAACAACTACCCAAGCAGAATCTCTCTCTCTCCATCTTTTAATTTCTTAGCTATAGTACACCATTCAGAAGGAAATGGTGAGAAAATATGTTTCTTTAGCAATTATGTCAACATCAATAAAAGCTGCATTGATCACATTTACTTATACAATCAGCTAGCAATCAAACATAAGTCATTGATTCATCTTTCCAAATAAATAGCAAACATGTCATTCCATAACACCTTCTGGAATGAATTGATTCAATAGCTCCTAACAGATAAACAGATTATGTGTACTGATTCAATGTCCTAATGAACATCTGCGACTACCATAATTGGCTACAGAATCTTTTTCTTCTGAAAATGGCTCTGCAATTGAACATATCATAGCTTCTTCAAAGTGTTCACTAAATCTTGGCTACTTGAAATAAAGATAATTTTGCATCAGTTGGATTGAGAACTCAGACATCAATTGCATTTTGGCCACTTATCACCTGAAGAAAAACTCCTCAAACCCTTCACCAAAGCCTTACCTCATAAAAATATTCTCCTTTCCAGAATAATGGGAAAGGTTATTTCCCTTGCATGTATGACAAGAAGATCAGTTACATGGGATAAGAAAAATGTACAACGAGCTTGAATGATCACTTTTGAGTGAAGTGCTTTAGATATGATCTTAATTCTCTGTATGCTATCAAGGCAAATATGAAATTTCAATAAAACGCTAAAATATTTTATCTGTAATGAGATGAGTACTGATCTCAACTCAGTGGTTATCCATGCCTCTTGTAGATAAGACATAAGAGTTGAGTTTTGACTCCAATAATATCAATTGAAATAGCAATTTCGAGAATATATAGAAACAGTACTAATCCAGTTCATTTCACATGCTAAAAGAACATTGATGATTTTGTATGCTTAATGTAAAATGCAAAATAAACAGTAAGTTCCTAAAACACCTTATTAATAAGTATTAAAAACGCTAAAGCATGTCAAGAAATGTAAAAAATCAAGTATAATGCTTTATCTGAGTAAGAGCATAAATCTAAATCCAAACCATACAGGATAGTTAAATTCGGCATTCTGGATAGCTCTGGTGGAAGATGCCCGGATAAATTGTTATTGTCCAGAAGGCTGCAGAAACTCATTTTGTCAGCAATAGAGTGACATGATTATACAGGCGAGTAGAAAAGGGGGTGGATGGTTACTGGTGCAACTGATAATGGAGATGAATCACGTGACTAGAATTTAAGACAATCGTTGGTGAGAAACTTACAAGTGAACAAGATACGGTAATCTGGCGAGTTCAGGAGGGATTTGTCCACTAATTGAATTGTTGTTCATGTGACTATTTAGAAGGGTTCAAAGGAAAAAAATGAACAATTAATATGAAGGAACGGTATAGTGGAAGAAACAAGAACAAATGCAATGATGGGATAACTAGCAATGAGGAAAATACTTACAAATGCTTGGTTTTGTTTAAGTTTGCAAATGATCTGGGTATTGGGCCAGATATGTTATTCACGTCAATTTGTATTCTGTCCAAATTTGGAAGAAACCAATTTCTTCAGGCAAAGGACCTGTCAAGTGGTTTCCATTTAGGAGCCTGTAAACAAAAATATCATATATAAATAACTACAGAATTAATGCAGTTCTGAAGAATTTCAAAATGACCTAGACAACTTACAAGAGTTCCAAGGATGTAATATTTCCAATCTCCTTTGGGATACTTCCACTTATGCCATTCCACATAAAATCCCTTTGGTAAAGTCGGAAGAAAAAATAACAGTGAAAAACAAAAACCGTATACTACTAGCATTAAGTGAAAAATAACAAAAACTTCCAAAGTCTTTGGCAATAGATATCCTAAAATATAATTTGAAATGAGATTGAGGCAGTTTATCAATAGTAATATAATAAGCCTCACAATATTTGTAAGCGAGATAAGAGGCCAAGATCAGGTGATAAACTTCCTGAAAGATTCATATTCAATAGTTGCCTGCAAAGAACATGACAAAAAGGAAGAAATTGTCATTAAAAAAATGGTTGACAGAAATGTGCCCTTGCAATCAAGATCATATCTAATCATTAGTCTTGAAGTTGTCACAAGAATCATGTTACAGGCAGAGTCAAGTGGGCCAAGCAATCAGAGGCCCCCTTACTATACAAGGGAGGAAGCCTAGTTCTCACCAAGAAGCATTGGTAGCTTGCTTCCAAGCCTCACCTTATATAATAGTTGTGGTCAGCATAATACACAAGAAACTTTAGCATATGCAAATAAAGATAGAACAGATGATTGATTGTACGTTGCGGCATGTTAAAGAAATTATTACTGAAAGCCAAATCCAAGTGTTCGAATCAAATGTAGGAAGGATAGGTAAACTGATAGCTGGAAAAAATTGTTAGCAACTCTATGGTAGATGTACAAAACCAAACCATTGCAACATGTACTGATCTCTCTTTCTTATCTTATGCATCAAACCCTACTAAACTCATCTCGGAAAGAAAACCATGACAATCGCAATCAACTTCATTTGTTTGTCTTATTCATTAACGCCTCCTAAACTCGTATCCAACAACTGCCATTTTCTTTATATCCAATCCAAAACCATAATAGAAAAGTTTAATGGGTCCAATCTTGTTGGGTTATTTTTGAAAACTGAATGTTGTTGACAAGTTTGAAGAGATTTATTTGATGGTGCTGATAAATGAGAACAAGTTTGTGGAGATCTATGACCCTTATCAGTTTCAACTATTAGTAATGTAAGGAACTTTTTGCCAAGTTTATCCTGACTTTTCAAGCTTAAGGACAAGCTCTTTCTCAAACTGGAGGACTAGATTTGATCCTTATTTAAAGGACATATGACGCTAAGTAAAATTTGTGTCAAAAACACTAAACAGATCTAGGTCTAGAATCCTAAGTTTTCAGTCTACCTTGGATGAGTTTAACTACCAATCAAAATAAGTAGTAACAAATCAACATAAGGTGCAAAGTAAATTTTTACTTGGACAAGGGTGAAAGCAAATATAGTTGTAAATGAAACCACTATGCTTGTGCTGAACACTCACAGTTCTCTAACATGTAGATAGCCATCATCCTGAGTTGTATTAAAGCACAAGACTCCTGTCCAATTCGATGTGCATGGGTCTCCTCGATTCCAATTACTCAAGTTCTTATTGTTATCAACCAAAGTTCTCCTTATGGCTCGTAACGCCCTGACTGCAAATTGATGCAAATGGAAATGATGATAATTATTAACAATTAAGGACTTTCCATCCAGCATGGAAAGGGAAAAGGGAATTAGATAAGTTCAGAAGAGGTCATGCTCTTACATCTCCTGTGAGAGGCTGCTGGAAATTGGAGAGGGTAAAAGAAAGGAAAATAAAGGGCAAAAAGTCCAAAACTAAGATCATTTGATGCATCCAAATACAAAATACAATCCAGGGACAAAATTTAAGTAAAGGATGTTTTCTTTAAATTCAAGTAAGGAAGAAGGATTGCTATGGGTATGGTGTGTGAAACGCAAGTAAATTACCTTCAGCTGGGTGCGTGATGCCATCTTGAGCTCCAACAAGTAAAGAAGATGGAAAAAGCCACATAAGAAAGACAGCTCCTACAGTCCAAGACCACATCCTTGCTGTAGGCATCCTCAGAATGGGAAACTCAGCAGATTTGCGAAACATGTATATAAAACCCAGACCGGCCGGGGATTTTTTTTCCTTTTTGAAAGTCCAACGCTCCCCCTGATACCAGTGATCCACCTAGAACGAATATGTAAATATTCCTTGATTAATTTTATACTTGTGCCTTTCTTTTGGTTACCGGATGAGTTAGCTCCTTGAGCAAGAAGAGAAACCTAGAAAAGAGGAAGAAAATTGACAGAACAAAGGAAAGAAATGATTAATGTTATCCTGCTGTGTTTGGTATGCGTCGGAGACTGAGTAAGACGGAGTCTGAATCTGACCTGGTCCACATGAAGAATGGTGCACAGATGATGAATACTAGTATTAAACTTGCACATCTCATTCGGTGAATTTCTAGTTTTCTACTGCTATTTTCCTTACTTTTGAATTTAATTAATATTGCTCTCGCTCTCGTTACTTTCGTAGTAGGAGTATTAATTCATGGCCAGTGGGTTTAGGTTTGACTGGGTTTGGCGAGGGAGGGAGGCGCATGCCTTTTTATACTTTACTCCTTCTCCCATTCATACAAGCTACGGCACGGCTTTTCTTTTTCACATTGCCCGGCTCGACCCACCCGAATACTTGTATGAATTGACATTCTTCCTTCATCAGCTTGCTTATTATTTAATTCAAAATTTAATTTTAATAGCAATTCCAGTCAATTCCGGGGTTAATTTTATTAGCATGATTAAAGTACAAGTCTAAAATCAATTAATTTTTGGGTGGGACTTTCAAATCCATTGATGTCTAATAAAAAATGTATGAAGATGGAGAAAAAAGTTGGTCAGATTTTTATAAATGTAGTAGTTAACATTGTGAAAATGACATTAAAACTAACCCTATTATTCAAATCATAATTGTCATTTTTAAAATTTATTATTACTTTTTAACATGTTTATTGCATAGTTATTCAGAAATTATTATCTTTTAATGTTTATAGATTTCATCTAATTATTTATAAATTAACTCGAATCTATTGACCTATAATTTAGAGTATTATATCTTCTTCAGAGAATATCCCGAGATATAATATTTTTAAATATTATATTTTATTGATGTTATTAATATATTAGAAATAATAGTGATCAATCTAAATTAAATATATATTTTAAAACAAATGTATATATACTAATTAACGTGTACAGCTTAATATCAAATCCTAAATATACGATGATTAGAGAAATAAAATAAATTCATAATTAAAGGCAAATCTATATTCCCAAACTACTGTTGAATGTAACTAAATTTATTTCCTAAAAATTGTGTTATATGGCACGAACATCGAGTAATAAAACCCAAATTTGAATAGTAGAATTATAAAGAGTTTACATCATAAGCAACCACAAAATTGCTACAATGAAATTATATTAATGAATGTAAAAATTAACTAAATTATCTTAATTATTGTAAACTATTAAAATTCTAAACGTTGAAATACTTTACTCGTCCATACGAAAAACTAATTCAAACTAAATCAATTAATTCTCGATGATTTAATATGATGAGACTGATATTACTGATTTGAGCTAATCATAATAAATATGAAATTACACTCAAGATCTAGTCATGTCAAATAATCAATAATAAAATACTATATTGTATTAGTATACTTGAATCAATTGTTGGAGATCACCTAAAAGGTGATTGTGATCTTTTAAGTATATATGTTTACTATTATCATAAAAATTCTCTGACGAGATAAGAGTAATACAAGTTAACTTATTTCTTGATGGCCATTACCTTTTATATAATTAAATATTAGATCGATCTTTTAAGTATTTTAATTTTGCATATCATCAAATCATAAAAATAATTTATGATATCTACATTTTATTTTCATGACATTTTATGCACCTCGAATTTCAGGTAAATGGAATTGAGTTAACTCGAGTATGCTACTAAATGATATGATAGGATTTTGTAATTTGTTGAGCAAAGTTTGGGCTTTATGAGTTTTAAAGGGAGCCCAAATGACCATAAAAAATGATTTTTGAGTTGGGTTTAAAGAAGGATAGACCAAAGGAGCAATTAACCCGCAAAGAGTTTTAAAGCTAATTCCCCATTATTTTGGGTGATGCAATCGACGTGAGAAAAGGATATAAGGCTGGCCCTTATTCCTCATTTTCTTCACGTTCTTTGTTTTTTTCTTCTATTCTCTTAATTTTTTTAAACTTGAGGCAAGAAAGGGATCGAGCTTATAAAGATAAGTGGTGTTATCATCATCTCTAAAGCTTACATTCAAGCTCTCTTTCTCAAGGTTTGTCTAGTGGTCATAGTAGAAGGATTTTATAAATCTTGACCAAATTAACTCATTTTGGTGGATTTTGACATTTAAGAAATTCTCTTAACATGTTTTTAATTTCCAAGATGAGTTGATAACTCATTTTGATGTTTCGTAATTTAGACATGTCCACACTACTCTAAAGGAGTATGATAGGTGTAAGATATTGATGCTTTGTGACTCAAATCATCACCTTCGATAATAGGTAATGAATGTTAGATGGAGATAAGATGATGATGCTTCGTGACACAATCTTACCGAAGTACCTTGTAATAAGTTAAAAGGGTGTGAGCCTTGTGATATTAAGGTGACCCTGAACTATACCATGATGCATGCTTGTTGTTTTATTCTTGGTGCATCTATGTTGTTCATGACTATACCTGCTAGCACGCTCATAAGGTGAATGCATGTAGTATAATGGAGTTATTTGTGTGACACTGAACTTGTTAGCTCAACGTATGGAATGTGTATCTGTTAGCAGGTTCTTAGGTGGTTGATCGAGGAACATCTTGTTGGATTCAAGATTTCAAATTGAATCGAGCTTTCATAATATATCTTTAGTATTTTAGAGGGCATGCATTATTTATTGACCTTATATATATTTGAGTCGTAAATATATTTTAATATACTCAGTATTATTTGTAAATTTTATGAATTATGTTTTAAATTCTTGGTTTATTTACGAATATTATGTTTATGGGTGTTTATGTGAGAAACGTCGATTTTAAAAAAAATGGCAAGTCATTTTAGTGATTCCGTGTAACACTTTAATCCTACGTTTTCGGGTTGGATCGAATTAGGATGATACATTTTAATATTTATTACACATAATATAATCAGTTACTTAATTTTATGTCATATTTTATGATAACGTTATACATTATACATGTATGCTCCAATTACGAATTTTAATCTAATATTTATTTCTAACATTTGCACTTAAATTTTATTATTTGGTTTTGGGAAAATTATGATAAAAAGGGAGATCGTTGGTATAAAAGATGTATAGGTATATTATTTTCTTTTATTTTATATAAATTAGATTATAATATTTTAAGAATTCGTATCATATTGGACACGACTTTTTGAATACTGAAGTGGAAGCTCCCAAGTCCCAACGAGTGCTAAATGGGTATGAAGATGTGTTATGACTTAGTCTAGTGCTTTAGAGACAGAATAATCATCGCCCATTATGCTATAGGCAAGCTAAAGTAAAGCTATTGGTGAGTGTTTATTTTCTATCCTACCTTCAGCTTTAGTATATAACATAATAATTAATAGTAAGTAATGATCAACTTCACACAACATTGGAGGCCTAAATTACAAATCTATCTGTCTAACTTTGAGTCAATTAATTTCTTTTACAACTTGACAACATATAATTGAGTTATGGACCTATACGCGCCTTTCTTCCGGGAGAAGACTTTAGCTTAGATCATATGTATATTGGAACGGCCACAACATAAATATTAAATTGAGTGATAGATGTTCACACAAAATTTTGAGATCAGTTATAAAATCATAATTTTCTTAAAAAACTAAATAACGTATTCGGTAAATTTCTAAAATTTTATGAGAGCATTTAGGGTCGGCTAATGGGGGACATTTTGAACGATTGTTCAAGAGTCCTATTTTTATAGGATATCTAGTTTTTGTAATCCCACATTTTATCCTTATAATTGAGTACATATTTTTTCAATCTTGTTTTTACCTTTATAATTAAAGAGTCTAATTTTTTCAATCTCACTTTTTATATTTATAATTGAAGTCCCTAATTTTTTTTTCAACCGCACTTTTTACTTGTATAATTGAGACCCTTAATTTTTTCAATCTCACTTTCTACCTTTATAATTGAGGCCCCCTAATTTTTTAAATCTCATTTTTTACTTTTATAATTTTTTTTTAAAAAAGGTAATTTTGTATGTTATTGAATCTGTCACATATAAAATTAGACAAAGAAATTAGCCTCATTAACAAAACCTCTTATTGAATATGGGGAAAAAGTGCCCATTTCAATGTCAAGGTTACAAGGCTACAAACACGAAACACACCGAGAGGTCTCCCCACGCAGAAAAAAGATTATACCACAGGCTCCTATACGCCCTTGAAATTAGCCTAGCTTGGGGCACGAGAAGCAACACGAGCAGCCCCACGACTTGGATCGGGGATAGCAGGACAAAGACCATCCCAAGAAACACAGCAAACACCAATCACGATCGCAGCAAAACTGCCGAGGACAGCTGGACAGCCCCAAGCAGCCTTAACAGCCGCCGATCTAACCTACCTTTCCAATGGCTAAAAACATGCAGGACAGAGAAACAAGGGCGCAAGCAAAACAAAAACTAGCCGACTAACACGCTTGACCACCACCCAAATCTGGAACAGAGCTGCTACTGATACTAACAACAACAACTAGCAAAACTCGCTCAAATCCAAGGAAGCGACACACGCAGGACAGAATAGGTGCATAACAGTTTAGGGCAGGAATTGCAAAACACGCAGAGTTGGAGTCTTGGACCTTTACTCCTCGTTTCACCAGTTCCACAATCATTGGGATTCTCTCATGAACTGCTTTCCAAACGAAGATCTCCACTTTTGGGGGAGCAATATTTGCCCAGACGATTTTCCAAAACTTGCTTTTTTCCACGCCCTCAGATGCGATCGCCTCGCAAAAAGCCTTGGGATGATAGACCCCACTACCATCACCATCCAACTTAATGCAATCCGGTGAATTTGAAGATGATGATACATTATTAAGGGTGGCCAAGAAACTGTTCCAATCGGAGTTTCCCAATCGAAGAGAGCTCTCCTAAGCTCGATATTCCAAAACCAGTCGCCATCTATTTTAATACCGAAGTCCGCCGCCTTACCTGTTTTCTTTACTGCCACGGCGAACACTCGAGGAAAAGCCTCCCTTAACGCTTTATTTCCAACCCACACATCGTTCCAAAAATGGATTGACCGCCCATCTCCAAGAGCGAGACTTAGTTTACTGGTGAAATGGTCATCCGTACTGTACAAAGTGCTTGAGATGTTGCTCCACAGCCACGACTTCTTCCTGTCGTTAGCTGCTTTGGAATCAATGCTTGTTGATCATAGCCATATTTTTTATTTAACACCATCCGCCACAGATTGTTTGGTTCCTTGCTAAACCTCCAAGACCACTTATTCAACAGTGCTCTGTTTTTCCATTTCACATCGATTAAACCCAACCTTCTGGAATATTTGGTTTTACAAAACCGCTCCCAATTGATCCAGTGTATTGCCCTTCCATTAACTGCTCCCCAAATGAACCTGGCAATTAGTTTATTGATGGAATTAGCCACTGAGTTAGGCATTTGCAACAACGACCGGTAGTAGACCGGGAGGTTCGAGAGAACCGATTTCACCAAAGTAATCCTCCCTCCAATGGACAATAATTTTCCTTTCCACCCCTCATTAATTCATTTAATTCCGAATTAAATCTAATTGTTTTTTTTCTTCAAATTGCATTCTTCAATTTATCAAGTATTCTTTAACTCTTAGTCTTCTCCGATATCAATTTAACAGTAAAAAAAATTTATCAAAGAGGTGAAAATTTACTTTAAAAAATCAGATGAATGAAATTTATCGATTAGGACTACAGATGACGTTGTAGATCGGATCCATCTAATAAATTTTTCTTTTTAACACTCGGTCCACACTTATAGCCAATTGTATATGATAGTATAAATAGTACATATTCGTGCAAATGCAATCATGCTTGTCCATTAAAAGCCCAACAGTCATTGATGACGCACTTCAGAGCTTACTTGATAATATAATTAACAAATTCCTTTTGCTTATCTTCTTACTCCCAGATCTGGTTAATTGAACTATTAACTTATCGAAGATCTGGGATTTGCCGACTCAAACATCTCATTATACTACCTAGCAAATATAAATATCACCATACATCTCTCTTAATTTCTACTATTTGCTCCATCCTCTGCTGCGATAGCTACTACAAATTCTCAAAGATAAACAAGGTTTTTTACTTTTAAATGTCTAACAGATGAAAATTGCTTACCCTATACAGTTATATCAGAGTGCTTAAGCCAAAATATTCTTTCCAATTATCATCCAAGAAGTGGTACTTCTGTTATAATTATGATTTGCGACAATACTATCATAGCATGCATCGAGCATTCATTGACTCCATAATACAAGTGTATGCTAAAACAGTAACCATCATGTCCTCTCAAACAGAGTTGAAGATTATCTGAATGGAGAAGGTGAAAAAAAAATGAAACTGACTCATACCGTTTTGGAAACTTACCTGTAAATGTAATATAAAGATTCATAATCCTGGTTAATCAAAATATTCATCATAAGTTAAAGATGAAGATCAAAAACTAAATAAAAGTTTGTAAGCAACAAAATAAAAACAATATATTTCTGGGAATTTTACAGGCATGGGTTAGTCATATCAACCCATATTTGCTCAAATGCCTTAATGATAAGATCACTGTATTTGTTAGAATTGAGTGAAAGATAACAAGCAAGAAGATGTTCTAATTCCTTGGAACTCCTAATGTTATTCTCCACGATCATCTCAATCATTGAATCCTTGAAGTCCCTCTGTGGATCTAGCGAAGACTTGACGACCGCAAAACTTTCTACGATGCTTCTATTCCAAGACTTGAAGCACGTAGGTGATTGGCTCTTTTGCGCATATGATTGAATCTTCTTGCTTGAAATTTTCGGAGAATTTGGCCGAAGCTTTATTCCAGGAGAAGTTCGAAATGACTTCCTCGCAAGAGGACTACTTCTGGGCTCTTTGCGAATGAGAGATGCACGTGATTTAGTCTCCTCTAACCTAGATGAACTTGCCAACGCTATGGCCCGTTCATCTGCCTTGTCAATTTTACTTGTATTTTGCATGTCGATGATGATATCCGTAGTGGACGATCTAAGTTGACAGTTGTAAGAATTGAAGTACAAGGCTGGTGCAGGTAGAGGAGCTAAAAAATCGTCGTCCTCTAAGTCTGATAAAGAGAATGGGGTGTTTCAGGGGAACCCTCCAATGGAGAAAGAGAAGAGTGATGAGTAGGGTTGTTCAGCATGGGTATGGCATGGCTTCTTAAACTAGAAGATGCGGAGGAAATGACTGTGGGAGAAGGCTTGTAAACTGTTCTTCTCGTCAATGATTTTCTTGGTGAGGCTTCAAAATCTTGTAATCTGCCTGCTTTGTAATGCTTGGAATTGTGGGGGTTTTGTGATGTGGGAGGTTTTTTGTTGCTGTATTGTTTTCGGCCTTTGTTCATGTCTTTGAGCTTGTAAAACCAGGCATTTGATATCATATCTGACAACCTGAATCCCATCTTACACTCAGACCAACTCTTTCTTTGTCACTTTATTACACCACTTTGGACAATGGACACCCTTCTAATCCGCCGCATCTTTCACACTTGCTCTCTACTTTATGGCCCCGCTATTTAATACTAATGCCTTTTCCCCTTTTACAGATGGACAAATTATTGTTTTATCTGAGGCTTAAGGCAACAATAAGGATGGCCCCAACTAGCTATAATCGAGCTTAATATTATACGATTAAGATATTATTTTAATAATATATAATTTGCGTATTAAAAAGAATGATGGGTCATAGTGGTATAAAATAAGATAAAATTTGTAAATGTTGATTAAATTATAGTAAGTCGTTTAACTTTCAAAAGTTATAAATAAGGATTAAACTATAAATTTTGTTATATTTATAAGCATAGATTCTTAACTATCGTTAAAAATAATGTAACATTCTAAACTAATAAAAGAATATCTTATTTAGTTCCTCAATTGCGACTAAAGTTTTATTTTGATATTTTTGAATAATTTTAAGTAATAATTTCAAAAAATAAAAATAAAAAATATGTATTCAAATTCACAATTTATTTTTATTAAATATTATTAATTAAACTGATTTATTAATAGATAACGACGGTGTAATTTATCAGTAAACTAATTTTATTAGAAGTAATGGATTAATTGCTTTAAATGATATAATATTGTTTATAGAAAAAAATATCAAAAAAATCTCTCAAATTCTATAGATGTAGTCATATTTTAAATAAAAAGAATAATAAGCGGGGGAAAAACCCTTGATGGCTAGCGTTCTAGAGCCTTCAGACGACTAACAACTCCCAAATAGGCAGTACCGATGAGTTGAAGCGTTGTCGAACGATGCCACGTCCCCTTTTGCCAACAACCAAGTCATTTTGGATTGCGATAAAATCCCTGTCAATAAACAGTATGCTTCGTATCACGATATGGTCATTGGTCCTCAAGACGACGCATCCTCTGAGGATCTAGTATAATGATGACATTGAATTGTTTGATGACGATGTTGAGGCTGGGGAATTAAATGGGATTTCATTCATCAATTTCTCTAAACACGTCCACAATCTAGCACTCAAGGGCATGGAGCTAACGATTACAATCCACTTCACAACCGAGTTTTATCCCTTTTTGGAAGCATGCTCATCCTATCAAACTTATTGACATAGAAAATAATTTTCTTGTCAAGTTCGCTGCAAGTGATTATCTAAACGTACTTTCGGACAATCCTTGTGTATTTTTAGCCATTATCTCATTGTCAAGCCCTGGTCTAATGACTTCAATTCCTCTCAATCTCATCCTAGTCGGATCATGACGTGGGTGAGACTTACAAGGCTTTCGATTACGTGGTACAAGAGTACGATTCAAGCAATTGGTGGGAGACTTGGATTCGTTCTAAAGATAGATTACTAGACCGACAATGGACGTAGAGGTTGATTTGAACGTATGGCCATCAAACTTATTTTGAAGAATCCCCAAAACTCAAGATATATGATTGTATCCAAGTGTTTAAGTATGTAACCAAAGTGATGACGTGACATGTCATATCACCTAAATGATAACATCACATGTGTCATGCACTTAAAGTGATGATATGACATATATCAAGCACCTAAAATGATAATAAGTATGTGTCACATCACCCATAATAATGATATAACACATGTCAAGTCAACAATTAAATACATATAAAAATACACATCAACAACTTGTGTTGATAGTTAGTAAACTAAAGATTTCCTTCTAACACGAGATATTTTAATCAAAAATTAAAATGTTGAGGAACTAAAATACTCTAAAAATAAGAGTCAAAGTGACCATTTATACAAATGCTAGGGGTAATTTTGTCATTATGCCTTCAATGATTCTAAAATTCAAATTGAACACCAAAAAATATTTTTTAATCATCAAAATTTGAAAATGCTAAATTAATTTTAGGAACGTTACATTTGGTATCAATAATATTATTCTTATAGTATTGATACTATAGGAAAAACCTTTTAAAATTTAGGTAATTATAAAGGGAGTATCAATATTTATTCTTGAGGTATTAATAATGTCCTAGTGGTATCAATACACAACCTTCAATATCAATATCGAGATGAAATATTTGATTATAGTGTGACAATTGGATATCAATATTGCTAAAAAATATCGATACCTTAAGATGAGTATTGATGCCCTTTTTGGTATCGATATATTGATGCCCTTTTTGGTATTGATACCTAAGGTAATTTAAGCCTAGTTTTACCTCTAAATTCACCAAGAATGGTGAAAAATGAAACGCAACGAATTGATGAGCCTAATAGGAGGCCTTAATACCCTAAATGACTAAAATATCTCCAAATATGGTGGATTAATAATATGTTCATAAGCACAAAATGACCCAATTACATATATAAGGAAAAAACAATAAACACCTCACAGCTTGAATAATCTCTTTATAATTGCACAACAAAACTTATTGAGGGCCGTAAACTACATAAAGACTAATACACTCTTATGCACAACGCTATAAGGATGAGCCATAATCAAGAATAAACTATGGTGACTTGAGATAAAGGCTTGTACATTATTAATGAATAAATATTGTGACTGGGTTATGTTATGTTGATTGACCTTTAAGAAAATTTATGCTATGTGTGGCCTATGGGTACTTATCTATGTGTATGACCATGCACGACGGAGATTATTCAGGTATCCTTGATTGTGTATGTATCCGATGCTTAGTGATTCTAGGCTTTGTGGAATGTAGTATCTCATACTTAGTGATTCTATATATAACTGCCATCTTGCAATGATTCTTAATGATTATAGGTAACTTATTGTTATTGATATGATTGTGTGGATAAGTCATATAACTAGTACTAGCAGTGTGGTTAATGATTCACAAATTTAAGCAACTGTCATAATGATTGTCAAGGGCCTTACCGAGAGATTCAAAACCAAATACGCATACCATGGATAGATTCTCCATAAATGAGCCGGTCACTAAGTAACAGGCATTTCACTGTCCTACCATATGTTTTTACTAATATTAGCTATGCTTCACCTCAAATGCTTGTAAAGAAATAACTAGAGACAATTTCCCATTTCATTAGAGTAGAACTAAAGTAACTCTCAGAAATAGATGTCACAGCTAAAACAAGGTTAACAATAGAGATTAAGTTGAAACTTATGAACAGCTCTTTACAAATAGTGCCATGATAGTGAAATGAAACGACCATGTTAGAAATTGCACAATGGATGCCAAATCTATCAAGATCACTAACTTTTGGCACTCACCAAATAGAAAAAAAACAATTACCCTCTAGCAGTTTCCACAATTTACTATTTAGGTTGCCATGCTAACCATAAAACTATAGTTATAGCATATATGACCAAAAGTTAAAAAATGCCAAAAATGTTTAATAGATGATCAATGCTATGTCAACAGTATTTAAACTCTAATTTTACTCATTATTTCTTAGAAGCTGACAAGAGCAGACCTAGCCATAAGGTTAAGCATCTCGTGCATCAGACAGATTTATCATGAGTCTCAAACAATATGACCTGAAACAAAACCATGAATAGGGGAACTGATTTATACTACAAGAATCTCAAGCATGATAAATTGCAGATGGATATGACACTCACACATCTGAAATACACAATTGATATTGATAAATCTGTGGATGTTACGAATATGATCATGTGAAAATGTTTATCTGCTTATTAAGAACAATGACTCTTCTCTTGTATGACAACAGATATTCATAGAGCTTACGAAGAATAAGCTTTTAATGGCAATCTTTATCTTGAACAAACAACAATGACTGCTCAAGGAACTTCACATATATATTTTTTTCAAAAAATGATTTCAATATGGGAGAGAAATCCATCTGTGATTCAATTGCACCTATGGAGGGATTGGTGACAAAGGTTTTATCTTCTCCAACAACTTCTCAGCCTCTATAAACCCAAGTGGCCCCAAAGATAAATATTTTAATTGTTTCCATCTGTTAATATATTTTAAGAATCAGAACGAGTACTTACAGCTATTGCAACGTTTTCAGAAATTTCAAGGTAAAATAAATTGATAAGTTAATAATGAAAGACGAAGAAACCCACCTAGGTATGAAAGGAAGTGCGAAACAGTGGAGGTGGAGATGGTCGACACTGTTCAATGGAGGCTGATGGAAACCAAATCTGCCAAAACCGAATAGGATCAAGAGGATCAGACAATTAAACTTCTTTGAATTAACACAATCGGAAACAATTTTTTTTTATTTTCCCCAAACAAAAAAAATCAATTAAGGTAACTTATGAGGCCATAACGGCATAACCTGCTTCTTTCAGGAATTCACACATTAGGTAAATGTTACTACTTCATTTTCATTCAACATTTTGTTTATGTTTAACAAGCCGATTTGTAACTGAAGAGAGAGCACTATGTATCATGAATTTTAAATAGATTAGAAAAAGCAAGTAAGACCCACGTCCTTGATACTATTCCCCCATCATTCCCCTCAGCCCTCACAAAGGGTATCATTCTGTCCCTTTGCCACCCAACTCGTGCAACAAAATATAATTCAAGAACATACTACATTTCTCCAACAATAAACTGATTGCAAAAATTATCAAACACAAATGAAAACCAGAACAGAAAGCATTTACACGGCTTTGAAGGAGTAATTGAAATCCAAGTCCTAATGCATGGAACAAGGACAGTTCATACAAAATGTCCATTTCTAAGAGCTTTTACACAAACAGTAACGCATCTATAAATCAAACATTGCGGTCAAGTAAAGTGATGAAAAAGCAATAAGGTCTACTCAACATAGATCAATTCTATAAGTTAGGTCATGAAAGGATACCCATTTAGCAAAGTTATTTACTTTATGGGAAGCAATACCTGTATTCATTTGGCTGAGGTGCATCTCTGTGTAATAATGTTTCCCCCACATTTAACATATGACTTACTGAAGAATAACAGCATAAACAAATAAAACTTTGGTAGGGAAAATAATGAAAAATGAAAGAAGAAAAGGGTAAATAAAAAGTCTACAAAGGGAACTTTACCCAATGTGTGATGTTCATTTCCTCTTTGAAGATCATTGACAGTTGGAATGTGCTCCACTGGTATCACCAAGTAATGCCTACGAAACTCGAATCAATAATTTTCTAGTTAAATTACAAAATTTCAAAATTATCATGAAAAAGTTACCACATTTCAATCAGTTCATAGAAACCTGAAAGCAGCAGGCTTGATATCTTGAAATGCAACGACCTTGTCATCCTGAAAACAGTCTAACAGATTTAGAACTTATAAAGTATTTCTGGTTGAATGCTGATTGAAAAGAAGACGAACGTGGAATTAAATTGGTAACCAAAAGGACAGAATAAAGAGGAAAAAGAAAAGGAACGAACGGAATGAAAGAGGGGAGTGGAGTTGGAACTTAGAGCGATTTGACAGAAGATGCACGGTGAGATCGCTCTCGCCATTTACCCCCAAATTGAGACTTCTAAATCCCTAAAACACTAATCAGCCTTTCCAAGACGATCTCCTATCCTGCAATTTATGTCCAATAGAGAGTGTTTATTTATGTTTATTCGTTATTATAATGTTTAATATAAAAATAAGTGTTTCATTTCTATTATAAGTAGGACGTTCACTGTTCGGTTAAAATTGAATTAATCGATTATATAAAATTTAATTGGTTTATCGATCAATTAATTTTAGGTTCGATCAGTTAACGTTAATGATTTTTTAAATTTTATTTTTATTAATTTGGTTAGAAATCGGTTAATTAACCGAATTAATCAAAAGTATTAAATATTATTTATACCGAATTAACGACCAAACTAAACAAATAAACCAAAAAATATTTAATATTTAATATATAATATATATATTTATAAATTTTGGTTAATTCGGTTAACCATTAATTAACCGAACTTAGAGTGTAATTTTGTATTAAGTCAAAATATAAACATGACACTTATTTTAGGTACATACGCAGTAATGTTCGTTAAAAAAATCAATAAGGGACGCATGTCATATTTATATTTTTTAATTTTTATTTTAAAAAACTTAATAATATTATTAATTTAAAAAAAATTTATAAAATTATAAAAAACTACAATAAAATCTCTCATTTCAACCTATTACTAGTTATCGTCTATCATCATCAGTAGCATTCGCCATTATCGAATGACCATTAACTCATCGTCGAACCTCCATTATCATTTATCCATCTCATTGTAGTCTTAATCCCCTTAAATCCATAAATTTAAACTTAAACTCCTAAAGGTATAATTCTATTGGTGTCGTCGTCCTATGTTGACGCAACCATCTATTGTGGTTGATGTTGCGACATATTGATTAAATTAAATCCTCTAAGTTCAATAATTTATTTTTTAAAAAAATAATATTTATTTTAAAATTTAAGATATAAAAATATCCAAAAACAAAAAGTTTAAATATAAAAATATTAAAAATAAAAAATTACTTACTAGAAATGAAAGAAAAATACTAAAAACACTATTAAAAATTAAAAATATATCTCAAACTATAAAATATAAATTATAAATTATTAAACAAGTTTAAAAATACATATTATACATAATATACATATAATATATAGGCACAAAGACACTATAATCATATTTATATAGTCAAATTAACAAAGTCACTATTATCAATACTTATATAAAATATTCTTACTAGATTAGTCGAGACTTATGGAATTTTTATTTAAATGTAATCAGAAAACATCATAAGTTATTCGCATTAATATACACATCTAATCATATTTCAGACAATTTTAAGCGTTATTTTATTATAGTTTACAATATGATGCGCAAGTTTACAAATAGTCCTTAGGATTGTTCGAAATATAATTAAATGTGTGTATTGATACGAATAACTTACTATATTTTCTAATTATATTTAGATATAAAATTCATAAGTCTCGATTAATTTAATAAAATACTTTGTAAAGTGTTCATGACATTACTATATAATAATGAAATAATATTTAGCATGCGCACATATATAATATAAAAATATATGACATATTAACTAATAGTTAGGAGTGTGTAAAAAAATCAGATTCGATCAAAAAATTTAGATATATGAGTTATTTTTTAATTTTCGGATAGTTCGAATCGGGTATCCAATTTTTTCAAATTTTCGAATCGAATACGAATCGATAAAAAACTATATTCGGATTATCCGAAAACCCAAAAAAAATTGGGTTATATTAGTAGGTTTCAAACCCAGATAAGTGCGTATATTAGTGCCAAAGTTCATGAATGGAGGATTATGGGTTTCCTCAACTACGATTTGACTGACAATCACCTAACTTTAACTCTTTGCCCGCTCCACCACCTTTTGGGCTGCAAAGTAGCAACCCTCATTTCATTTCTTTATTTTTCATCGTCCGCTTCCTCTGGTTATTTGTCTTACACTCTTACTTGACTTTAGGTGTCCTTCAAAGCATATTCCTTTCGAGATTTTAGTTGCTGCTACCAACAATTTCCATCATCAGAAGCTCGATGAAGGTTGTTTTAGATCTGTTATAGGGTAAGATCTAACCACCGAAACTTGTATTCAAAGTTTTAATTTTTGCATATAAAAAGCATGATGAACAAAAATAATGCAAATGCCTCTTTCCCTCTTGAGATTTGTCTAATATCAGATTTGTCTAATCTTAAATATTGTAATTTTATTTTCTTAAAAGTTTAGTGCTTACAACAAATCTTAATTTGGTTTCGGTTTAATAAATTGTGTTGAAATCTTTTATATTTCCAGAGTTCATTGTTTAATAGATTTTGAAATTTTCCAGAATCTCAAAATGGTACGATACCGTTGTCTGGTATCGATACTACTATATACACAGTATCGATACCGTTGTTTTACAACAGTTAAAATATTTGATTTTTTTTGCAAAAAAAATCAGATTCGGATCCAGATATATGAATATCCGATCCAAAATTTCATATTCAACTATTTGGATATCCGATTTTTTCGGTTACGAATCATTACTTTAGGTATTCTAATTTTTCGGATATCCGAAAATTTGGATCATATAATATCCGATATCCGATAATACACACCTCTACTGATAGTTGATATGTGTATAAAGTTAAAAGTTTATTGACTTTTTTAATTCGATTATAGTAATTTGATTAATTTACCTTTGCATTTATATATTACATGTATCTTTTATTTATAAAGTATATTTTTAATATTTTTATTTTAAATAATTTATAATTTATCATTTTATAGCTTGATATATATATATATATTTTTAAAATCATATTTTTTAGAATTGTTAGTATTTTTATTTTTAGTAATTTAATTTTTAGTCCTTTTTTATATTAGATATTTTTTATTATTTAAATATTTTTATATTTTGAATTTTAAATTTAAAACAATTTTTATTTTTCTAAAAAATTAATAAGTCTTTGAACTTTAAAAAATCAATTTGATCATTGATTTGGATAGAAAAAAATAATTTAGGGGTTGTTTGTTTACTTCAGAATGATTAAGTGTCGAATAATTCAAATTATGAATGATTCAGATGCTCTGAATGAATTAGCTCTGAATGTGACATGTTGTTTTACAATGGCTCTGAATCATTCAGAATAATGTACTTCCGTGCTAAATCATTCAGTACTGTTTTGCTGAATCAATCAGCACTGAATCATTCAGAGGTGCGAAACAAACGTGCTAAATGCTAAACGGTTCAACATTCAACGCTGAATGATTCCATTAAGAGACAAACAAACAACCCCTTAGTCTATATGTCACATCATTAATCATCATGTCAGTGTCGTGAGCTATTATTATAGTGTTCAAACCTAAAATTTTAAAAATAACAATAATTTTTTATCATAAAGTCGTTTGATCTATAAACTAGTCCTAATAAAATTTAAGACGTCAAATATGGTATCGGTATATTTGAATATAAAACCGTGTATTATAAAACAAACATGTTTTGCTTGAAAGAATAAGCAAGGGATCAATGGGGGTAGAGACATGAGAAGGACGTTTAGCTTGAAAGAGTAAACAAGGGATTAATGGGGGCAGAGACACGAGAAGGACGAAGATATTAATGGAGTCCAAAAGATAAAAGTAAACAGTAAAACATAACATAACATATTAAATGGCCTTCTCCTCTCTTTGCCTTTTTGCAGTTGAAACTGTCCTACCACTCTCTCTGAGTGGTTCTCTTGATCTACATAACCACAAATCAAAATTTATATAATAAATAATAGAGTAAATATATATATATATATATATATATATGATCCCCGATATACTATTTTATCGAGTTCCTCATTATTAAAAATTATAAAATAATCATATAATCATAGGAAATTATTTTGTCGAGTCATCGACTATTAAAAGTTACAAATGATCACCAAACTATTTATTATGTTCTAAACTTATCATTTTCATTAAAAAATTAATAATTGTATGAGTGATGTTAACATGCTAACTGAGACATAATAGTCGTTTGAGATTATATGATTATATTTTATCATATCTTAGTCAGTAAATTAAAATTCAACTCAGGCTTTCATCAATTTTTCAATAGAAATGATGATTTTGAAACATACAAATAATTAAATAACTATTTTATAATTTTTAATATTTAAAAATTCAATAAAATAACACATTATAATTAAAGATTATTTTATAACTTTTAATAATAAAAATTAAATTAAATAATATTCTATAACTAAGAGATCATTTATAATTTGCCCTATAAAAAGGCAAAGGAATCCCAAGATTATGAAATAGAAACTAGACAGAGACAGAAAGTGAATATAAATGCCAGAAAAAGAAACAATGATGTGCCACATAAACCACCAAGCTGCTTTCTCGCCTCTTTCAGAAAGAGAAAGAAAGGCCCCCCCCCCCCCAAGAAAAATCTTCCTTCTCTCCTCTTTCATGGTTTCAATACATTAATTTCCTTTCTCTATTTCCATGCTTTTTTCTTCTCCCCTAACCCAAAGTGATGATCTGATTGTTTTAATCTCTTTTCTCTGATACATCTTCTCTTGGGATTTTTTTTTGTTTTTCAATATATTCCTTGTGATCTGGTTTACACAGTTAGATTCTTTGGGGGAACGAGTGGAAAGTATAGATTTTATTTTATCTTTATGTATCTCATGGTGGAATGCTTTTTTTTTTTGGTTATTTGTCTCCTGGTAAGTTCTTTCTCTCTTTATAGTTCTGGATTCTGTGGATAAATTTTGAGCTTTGTTTCTTTTGTTGTTTATGTGTTCATGTCTTGGTTTTTTTTTTCTGCCTCTTTGTTTAATGCTTCATGGTTTGCCTTTTATGATGTGGAATTTGTTTTACAATTATTAGATTTCAACATGAGGTTCTGTTTCGCTGGGTTGATTATCTTTCTATGTATTCGTAATCAGTGCTTTTCTTTTTTCAATGCTTATAAAAACTGAAGACTATTTGGTTTCCATGGCTTCTGTTAAAATGTTCCCATTAATTTTACAATGATTCATCTGCATCGTTTAATCACGCTCTAGAGAAGGAAGAATAGTTATTTCTAGATGAAGGAATGAAAGACCTTTTCCCCCGCACATTCTTTGAGCTTTGCAAGGGTTGAGTTCCATGGCTCTTATGTAATGGCATATTGAACTCTCTTAGCACCTTTTTTTCCTTTTTCCCTGGAAAGCTTATCTTATGGATGAAGTTCAATTGAGCCTTTTAGTTTTTTCTTTTGCTCAGTGGTTGAACCTTTTAGTTATATCTTAGAATGTTCATTTCAATGTTAAAATTATCGTTCTGGGGGATTCCTGTATACCATATCACGAGATAACATGCCCTACAAACAGTACTGATCTATCTGAATTCCAAAACGGTTGAGGAAATGTGATCTTTATTTGTGATGCTAAAGTTAGTTATATATTCTCTGGTTTAAAGGCGCAGATCTTTTTCCTGCCGTCAGACTCTCTGCTTAATGGGACCAAATGATCTATATTTTCATCACGATACTATGTGGTTAATTGGCTTGTTTTGGTAGTTGTCCTAAAATTTTCAGTTACAATTCAATCTGCTTCAGCATTTTTACACAGTTCGAAATATTTATAACATTTAGACCAATCTATAGCAAAATATGCAACTAGATAGAATTGCAGCAAAAATCTCTCAATGACTATTATCAATTTGGTATTTCTGTTTAAATGGAAATATTTGTCTGCAAGGAGTTGTCCTACTTACATGTCATGAAACTGATGAAACTTCTTCAACGCTTATCTGATGGTTATTAAGAAGGGAATCTCTATGCACGTGTCTGTTGCCAAGGAAGGCATCTTCCCAAAATTGGTTGCCATAATGGCTGAGTTTCACCATTTCACATCCTTGTTGATTATTATTAGTGGTACTACACCGTCTTATAATCATAATTTCTCTATGGAAACCGTGCAGAGATGGAGAGCAAAGGACTGTGTAAAGCATCATTTCAAGACTCAGTCATTTGAGGATGCCAGATCTGGCATCAATTAATGTATTTGGTCAATTTTTATGAGGAAAAAATGTTGGCAGGAGATTTTGATATGAATTCAACACCGCAAGCTACTAATTCGCTTAAAGATATTTTCAAGCAGACAATGCTTGATCAGGAAATCATTTTCAGAAAGCAGGTGCATGGATATCCTTTGTGGCTGTTTACATGTAGTTTGCTGTATATTTCTGTTGCCTATAAATAATTTCCCTTTCATGGTCAAGCCTTTAGCCATCTTGGTGTCGAAGGTTTGGCTTGGAGATTTTATTCTTGTGGGTTTATGGCTCCCAAACTACATGAGTTCATGTGATTTAAAGTTCTATTCAAAAATAAAAAATAAAAAATAAAAAAAATTCATGTGATTTGAAGTTATATTTCAACTCATTGTTTTTTATGATAAGGTGGAACAAGAGACCATGCAAGTCAAATTGTCGCATGGAAGAAGCATGAATCTACCCCCAGGCTAGATGCTTATACTCTAGATGTCTATTTTTCAGGTATGTGAGCTCCATCGTTTACATAGTGTTCAGAAGAATCTAATGAAGAATCATACACCACTGGAGCTTGAAACGTTCAATTCATTGAAAGCAAATGCACAATCATTTCCCCGAGAAACTGGACTCCCAACAAATTCAATTCCAATGGTAATTACCGTCTTCTGAGATGTTAGAAGTCAATCTCTAATATCGTTGCTTATTTAAAAGCTCGTTTTTGTGTTGTTCCTAATCTTTCTAACAATGTTGTATATCATATCTTTGTATAGAGTGAGGCATAAGCCATGATGGTTAAATTTGTTGGCTTTACCCATAAATACTTCATGTAGCATGTTTCTTCCTGGTGCTTTTTCTTTTGGATTAAGATTTCAATTATCCATAAAAGAAAAAAAGGTTGACCTTCATGGACACTTGAGTGGTTTTTGATAATAAGTTACCGTTTCCCTCTTCCTTGAGTAGTGTTATGAGAAAAAATGCCATAAATCTAACGCTTTTGAAGGTTGGGAATATGATGAGGTGCAATCATGAAGATTTTGTGAAAACTATTTTATCTTAAGAGAAATCTACTTGACAGTTCTTTTTCTTTTTATGCATTATCATGAATTTCACCTTTTGGTAAGCATCCGTGTTCTAACCTTTTCTCTTTGACATTTTGTTCAGTTGGACTCAAGAGTGTCTTCTACTGTGGAGTTGTTAGAAGGGTGGCAGGACAATAGCTATAAATTTCAGCCAAGTCCTTTCAATCTTCAGCGTTTGCCTGATCAGTATACGAGTCTTGTGGATTATATTCTTCCAAATAAAGTAAAGGTTGCGAATCACTTAAAAGAAAGCATAGATGTAAATTCTATCCATGGTGGAGATTTTTCAGACCCCCTGGAGTTGAGGCTTTCTCTAAGCCTTGGAGCTATCAAAGGGAACAAGGAAGATGAAGAGAGAAGTAGGTCTGACAAGAAAACTGATGCCTGCTCTAGAATTGTCATTGATTTAGAAGAATCAACTGAGATGACCACAAATGTGGATAAAAAACATTCATCTTTTGATGCTGCTGAAGTTACTTATTCTGGAGGGAAAAATGATTCACGAGCTACAATAAATTCTAATCCAATTTCTTCAGGATGCACGATGAAAGATTTATCTCACAAGATACCATTGACTAGCCCCTTTGTTGGGGATAGCAACTGGAAAAAGCAGATCTATTCTGTTCAAGGTACTTGGTAATTTGCTTCACCATTAGAAGCTTCATAGTCATACCGATTCTATTCTTGTTTCTTGTTCAGTTCAAGAACATGTTTTCTGTTTATCATATCTTTATTTCTCCCATTTGCAGGATTAAAACACAATGATAATATGCCACGTGAAAACCTTTTGACCAGAAAGCAGCAGTTCACTTCATGTGGAGTGGGATATGTGGACCTTAATGAAGTTAAGCTTGATGATTCATCTTGTCACTCAGATGATTCCATACTGGTCTACCCTTTGATTAATTCCAATAACGAAGACTGGAGAACAAAAGATCAATTCAGAAGTTCTGTAAACAGTCCCGCATCAGAATCCAGGCCCCAAATAAACATGTCCAAGGAGAGTGGCGGCCACGGAGGAAACACAAAGAATGGAAGGGATGGGCTTATGCTGAAACTACAAAATGGTCATGCTCCTGGTCTGGAGCCTGCATGTGTAGTTGCTATACAGTCAGGTTGTGAGAAGAGTGGAGAAGCAGACAATGTGTTATTCTCTGATAAAATCCAAATTACCGTTGAAGATGAACTTCCCGACAGGTTTTCTCCATCAGGGAAGTCTAGCTGCATTTCAGATGATGTTTCTAGCCTTGTAAGGACAATGGAATCTGGAATTAAACCCTGTAATTCAAATCTTGCTGATTCTGATCAGTTTTCGGGAACCGATGGGAGATCTAAAGTTGCAGAAACTCTATCAGGTGAGCAGGATCAAAGACCTTCTGCTAGTAATGAAATAAAACATGAATGTTATGATAACCGAGAAGAATCGGCTGAAGTGGATAATTTGATCCAAATAGCAGCTGAATCACTTATGCATCTCACCTCGAAGAAATCAGCATGCTATCAAAAATCTTCAACTCAGACAGCATCAAAGGAGTCAGATAATGAGGACAAGGAGCAGCCACAATGTTCCCATGATTCATATGAGTTAATGACTTTGGAACTGGCAGAAAGCAATGCGGATGATTATTCTGTATCATCGGAGCCGTTTGAAGCAAGTGATGCACTGACAAAAGATTTCGGCATCAAGTTGAGAAGAGGAAGGAGACTGAAGGATTTTCAGAAGGACATACTTCCGGGCCTCTCATCTCTTTCTAGACATGAAATTCGTGAAGATATAAACATTCTAGAGGGAGTTCTAAGATCAAGGGAGTACAAGAAAATGAGAGCTAAGATGGCCAATGGAGAGAGATGGTTCAAACCGGTGAGAAGCAGACGGTCAAGACTCAATTATGTTGGAAGAAAAACTTTTAGATGATTTTCAAGTTAACGTTGGAAACTTGGTCAGATTTTAACATAACCCTATTGTTTAATTCGACATCTTTTTAACTGCAAATAATCTTTAAGCTCATTCATTGATTTAGAGATATTTAACTATGTTCTTATATATGATTCGATCTTTCAACTTTATTATTTTTAAAGCTGGAACGTAGATCTCTATGTCAAAGTGTTTGGGTTCATAGATAAACAATATTTGAGAATAGAATTGAGAGAATGATACACGAGACGAAATCTATTGCCTTGCTTCATAGATAAACAACATATTTATTAGAGGATTGGTCCATCTTATGCTATTTTTCTTTGGCAAGAAAATTAAACAAAGAAATAGTGAGAGGAGTGGAAGCAAAGCGACTAAAGATGAATCTTTACGAATGTAGCATGCTTCAATCATGCCTCCTAAAGGATAAATACCTATGGTGTTCAAGTTGCTTGAGTGAGAATGTTGATTGGCTGGCAGCTTTAGTGGATTAGATTCATAGGCAACTGGAATAATGCCCATATGCAGCCAAAATTCTTCACCTAAATCTTCGAATCTTTGTGTTGTGTGTGTCATCTTCTGTATTTTTCACATGGCCCGCAAATATAATGCTATTTCATTAACATATTAATACGAAAATGTCAGGCATTTCATAATTTTCACATGTTAGCCTTATGGCTCAAGAGGGATTCAGGAAACTAATTACACTCCTTGATGGATCGATGCAATCAGACCGAAAGAGGATCAGAAAAGGTCAGTTTCATCAAATAATATCATAATATTAATTTTTTTAAAATATTTAAATTAAAATCAAATAATCTCATAATATTACAAGTATTCACAATTAAACTAAACAAAAACTTGATAATGCGTCAAAAATTTGAGTCAACTTCAAGTTATAAAATAAGACTCGTCAACTTGAACAACTCAAAGTTTTTTTATTCGACTCGATCAAACGTTCACCCTTACCGATTAGACAATTGGCCCTGATTAAAATGGTTTAGTTGGATATTATTTCCGACCACGGTCTTACTTGAATTTTTCCATTATTTGTTAAGGGTCTTTTTACCATTTAAGATTTTTTTATACAATTTTGATAAGTTTTGAAGTAGTTTTTCATAATTTTATACTTACAATTTTGATTTATGATATCATTATGGTTAAAGCATGTGTAACCAAACGATAATCCACCACACATTCACTTGAAATTGCAATAAAATTGTCTTGAGTAGTAATTGTGAAGGAAAATAGTAAATAAGTTTGAGTGCGTGTATGAGATGTCCTTTCATTTGATATATAGTTAAGAGGTAAAGTTATTTGGCTTCACAAAGGCCAGTATCTTGGTCACAAAAACCATCCCTGTCTAGCAGTTTTTGAGGTGGAGCACTCAACAGAGGAGAAGAAGGAGAGCCATACGCATTTCGTCGACTGTTCCCACATCCTAAACTTGCCCTGGTGCTTACCCCAGTGATTGAGTTTCTTCCATTTGCATACTTGCACAAAGCCTACATAAACAAACCCCAGAAAAAGAAAAGAGCTCAAAGGGTATTTCAATTTGGAGTATGAATGAATCATCACACAGAGCTTCTCTACTGCTCTTTATGGTTCTTGGACTACAGAAATCACATTAACTATCTTGATTCTTGAGTGACACAAAAGGAAGCCATGGAATCATCATCACTAATTCTGTTTTCAGGGAAGACAAGAGTATAGTATTTGCTTTTTGTTACTGCTGCTTAATTAATCAGTGACAGATTGTAAATTTTCATGTATGGAAACAGGAAGATGTACAAGCATAGGAAAAGAGAGTTGAGAACCTGCTTCTGAGGAAGATCAATAACAGCATCACTGAAATCAGCACCTTCAATGAGGGCACCCCCGAGATCACTTCGGGTGAGGACTGATCTTACCAACACTGCATTTGTAAGGTTAGCCTCGTTGAGAACCTGAAGGGAAATGAATTTTAGAGTTTTTCCTGTTTATAAAGTGGATGAGGACCAAGGGTTCAAAAACTTTTACCATGCGATCCATCAATGTGTCACTTAGATCAGCACCTGTAAATTAAAGAAAAATCAATTCAGCATCAATGTTACCAGTAGTTTTCTTTTTCGAATGAGTTCTACTTCTCTCTTATATTTGAATGTTTGATTTGATGCAAAAACCTATCTTCATCTATGCTTGTGTGTTTTATAAAATATTATTGACAAAATAAACTAATTGTGTTTGGCAGCAAATTTACCTGTGAAATTTGCCTTGTATGCAACTGCTTTCTCAAGATATGCACCATTGAAGGTTGAGCCACTGAAATCGGATTCCCTCATATCAGCAGATGTGAAGTTTGCCCTTCTGTTTCAACCATTTAGATTTCAGATTGATTATGAACTGACATTCCACAATTTGATCATTAAGTATAAATTAAAATTCTTTACTTTACAAAGTCAGCATAAAATTGCTTGGTTACCTGAAATTTTCATTGACGTGAACAGCTTTCCTGCGTAATATAAGACACACAAAAATCAAGCCCCTTTTCCTAAAAGGTAAATAGAAATGTTAATTAACCAAACGAACGCACTTTAAATCTGCAGAACCAAACTGGGCAGCCGATCCGATACCGAATTCACCACGAGCTTCTGCCTCAAACTTGTTAAGTTCAGCCATAGAAGAGGTTTCGCCTCCAAAAACAATCATTGTTGCTGCTAATGCTGTTGAAACCAAGGGTTTCCAGAACTTAAATTTAGCATCCCTGGCTTCATACTTATTGCTGGAGCAATCTTCCTTCTCCAAAGGAAAACTATGTTAAAGTTGAGTACTCAAAACAAAAATAAAGAAAGAAAGAAAGAAAATAATAATATTTGATCAAATATACAGAATGACGACATCGCTTACTCACCGGTAATTGGAGTTTTGGTTTCTGGGTTATTTATGTGGCAAAAGGCGCCAAACGGAGGCAGATGGCGAGATGAAGCTTTTGAAGAAGAAGAAGAAGAAGAAGAAGAAGAAATAGTAATTAGAGGATTGATGGATAGAGAAGAGAGTGCCATTTACAAGTAGTTTACGGAGAGGAAAGGTGGAAGATGGATTACAAGGGCATATCGGGAGGCTTCATCTTAAAAATGTTTGCTCCACTTTTATCCACTTGTTTTTGGACTCGTGGGATTGGTTCAGATTTCCACACGTCTGTCTCTAAATGAAATAAAAATCTCATGGAAGAAGACGTCTAAATTACATTTCACCATTACTAGATTTTGTTACAATGATATCAATAAAAATATATAATTTTTAAGTTTAAATAATGGTAAAAGTAGGCAGTGGCGGACGTAACTTTTTTACCCAAAAAATAGAGGAGGACCAGCAGAATACTTAAAAATTTATTAGGTAAGTTTTTAATTTAAACAAAAAATATTTTTATTTATAATATAGATAAATTATATCATCTTTTAGCTTAGAAATTAGGGTTTAAGGTTTGATATATATTTAGTCAGTTGGTTTTATATTAAAATTAATTTCAGTGACTAATACAATAAATGAAAATTAACACATTTGAAAATATTAAGATTTAAGGAAAATTTATTATTATAATAATTAATAACAATTTTTTTTATTAAAATTACAATTTAAAAAATGTTATGAGAGTGGAGAACATCCAATGACAATCTCCTCAACATGACTGGATATGTCTCAACACGAACGGAGCAGTCTCTTCAAGAAACAACCGTTGCTCAGCATGAGGAGTATTTACAGATCATGATGACACCTTTATCTTGAGTTTGAACAAGTAGTTTGGTGTCTCGTTCAATATGAACATTAGGAAGTTTACGAAGAATTGAAGCTAGCATGGCATCATGGTTTTGAGGAAGTCTCACTTCAAATCGATAGTTTCGATGTTCATAACGCTTCATCTTCATTTGAAAACCTTTACTCTCTTATTCGGGCTATAGCTGTATTACTTAATAAAATATGGATATCCTTCTCATCCGCCAATAAAACAGCTGATAGCATCGTAAAAGACCTCTCTTCTTCGCTCCAGTTAATTTTCTCTCAATGTAAAAGGTTAGGCCTCCTTAAATTCAATATATATATATATATTGTTGTTACAATTTATAAACATCACTTTTTTGTATAACCACATGTATCCGATATATTAATTAAACTAATCCAAATTAGGTACTGTAGAGACGAGGATTATTATCTCAATCCAATTTGTTCTATTCACAAATGTCATAATTCAAATATATGACATTGTTTAAGAGATCTAGTGTCTCATCCCACTATAATCATCACTTTTGATGGAATTACAATTAGGAATCACGACAAATACACATATAATAAATTAATAGTTTATAGTTAAAGCATGCTCTTATATTTTTGTTTATATGTTCAATTTGATAATAAATTATATGATTTGATGATACTATTTATTTATAAAAAAAAACTACAACTATTTTCTCTCAAAAATAATTATTAAAATTTCTTGAATAAAAAATTAAAGTTGAAGCGTTTCTTTTTTTAATTTTTTCCCCACAATACAACTTAATTTGAGAATGTGGCAGCTTATATGATATTTCACCAGCTTCACTACGCAAACAAAACGAAAAAAAATCAAATAAAAGATTACAAAAATGAATGTTTGCACATTCCTTTCATTTCAATTATTCCCTAATTACACCTAGTCCATAACATTTTCCATAAAAATGATGGAATGACAAATTATTGGAAAGGATTTAGTTGGCCGATCAAGACATTTTCTTTTGATCCCTTAGAACGTACTATCTAAGAATGGAAGTTTATTACATCTATTTATTGTGCCTTCACGAATTAAATTTTGATATGTGATATAAAATAGAGAAAAGTGAGACATGACACAATATAATTGATAGGGCATAAAATGAAACGCGAGGAAGGGGCTAAAGATTTTTGGTCGTCATCTTTTTCGTCGTCGTCAACTGGATAGGGCCCAATGACAGCGGAGTTCATTTGCCAGATCTTAAGTGAGGCAGTAACATTGGTCTCAGTAGCATTGTTGAATAAAAACACTTTAGCAGCTCCATAGATTGCTTCGGTCGGATAAACCCTGGATGTGATCACTGTTCTTCCACCTTGACCAAAGCTTTCGATTATCGAATGATCCACCTGGAAAGAAAATAATACACTTTCACGCTTATTGATTCTTACGTTAGAAGCAGGTTAAAGTTAACAGTCTTACCAATATTCTGAGGGATAATTTTTCGCCCTCCAGCACTGGAACGTAGTTCCCAAAAATTTGTTTATCAACATCGGATGCTTTAGATGATCTGAGACAGTAGAATCTGGTGAGTGCAAGCTATGTGACCGATCGAGTGAAGTTACGAAGGCGCGACTGAGGTTTATACATACCGAGATAGATCATTGCATAAGAAAGTATTGAGTTTTCCATCGGAACCTTTGGCGATGTAGAAGTACACCGGAGTTTGTTCGCTGAGGCTCTCGTCTGCGAGCACCAAAAGACCGAATGGTCCCAATGCTCCACGTTCGGCAGCTCCGCCACTGGTTTTGCAGCTGAATGGTACATGGACTTCGTTTGCTTTTTTCAAAGCTTCTTCATCTACGTCGAACTCGGCTATGATATCCAACTGTCACATTAACAGGAATCTTGGTATATATAAATTATAGTTGACAGTGACATACACGTTAGGATAGAATAAGACGAACCTGTGAGGCTGGTCCAACATCAAGAGGAACAACTGATCCTGTCTCGACCGAAACCTTATTAAATTCGGTGTTGTTCAACCTTAAATTGTCTGTTTCTTCTACTGGCCATTGAAGCAAATTAGTACCAGTCTTATTGTCAAACAATATCGTCCTTGGTATGGCCTGTAAGTGAAAATAGCACATTACAAACATGCAGGTCTCGATTAACGTTTTATGGCCCATTTGAAACAGAAAAAATTACCTGGAGAGATGCCCATCCTTTCTCCATATCCACAACTTCACTATCTGTTTCCCCAATCCAACCCCACAGAATCCTTCTGTTTTTGTTCTGATCATAGAAAGTCTTGGAAGCATAAAATATTCCATAATCATACCTTATTCCGATACCAAGATCGATTTCAGGTTCATCAGGAATCCAAGAACCATTAATCTCATGATACGTCCCGATAGCATAGTAATCATGTCTGTCATCATCGAGGCTTACCTTGACAACATGCTTCACTTCAGGTCCATTAACGGATGTGTCCAACCCCTTTTTTCCTGTTATCGAAACAGGGAAGAAGTCCACACATTCCCACATGCCAGTCCCGGGTACAGAATGAAGCACCCCAGGTAACATCTCGTAGTTTATGAAATCTTTTGTGTCATATACCAAAGATATGCCAGTTTTATTTATCTTGGACCCTATGGTGATGCGCCATTTCCCTTCGGAGGTCATCCAGGCGGTGGTAGGATCACGGAAATCCTTCTTATGGATGCCTGGGGGTGGAACTAGAACCGGGTTCCCTTCGTACTTAACCCATTTGATGAGAAGAGGGTCGGAGAGGTTGGCAGGATAAGCAAGGTTTTGAACCTGAACAGCCTCGGCGGTGGATCCTGTATATAGCATAACAACTTTTCCATCAGGAAGGATTGTTGCAGAACCAGTCCAGACTCCGTCTTTGTCATACCATTGGTCTGCAACCATCGCCAATGGGAGGTGAAACCAATTAATCAAGTCCTTGGATACAGCATGACCCCAAACAATGTTACCCCAAACGGCACCAATGGGATTGTATTGGTAGAAGAAGTGATACCAATCATTATAGAACAATGGACCTGTTGCATGTGTTTTGGCAATATTGACTTTCAGAAACCATATAATATAGATCCATTCACTTTACAATCGTTCAACATACTATTAGATTATAAATATGCTGCAGTTATTTGGATAAGAAATTGATGCCTTACCATTTGGATCTGGAAACCGAATTCCCAAGTCAGATCAAAACATGTAAAAAAGCACCAGCCACACAATACATTCAAGATATTAGATACGGGGAATACCAGCAAATGAAAGATGAGTGCAAATGTTTAGAAACTTTTGGTACGTGAAAGGAAACTTTTTCTTACCATTCATCCAATTCTTTTCAGGTTGAAAATGAAAAGCCGTTCTTTGCCATACCAACATGCTACTGTTCCATGGCTCTGGCAAGATATCCCTGGGGACGTTGGCCCAAATCCCGCTTGTCTTCTCCGATACTCCTTGAGCCGGACCACGTGATACCGGCCGCAAAGGTTGAGGTTTCAGTTTCTGGGAGGCGAACGAAGCCAATGAACCATTCTGATTTCCACGTAAATGAGCACTACCTGACCTATGGTTTCCTATCAACAATGCCGCGAACAAGCCTGCCGCTAACAATCCAAAGAAGATGGTAAGATAAACTTTGATGGGTTTCAGTCGGTTTATAGGAGACACTGTTTCAGATGACGAATCGGAGTCGGATGCTGCCGGAAGCAATGGTTTAGTATCCGCCATTGTTTGTAAGTAATTCTGGGTAAAGAAGCAAAACAGAAAATAGTGTTGAGAGCGAAAGGAGCGAGTGCTATATATGGGAACTGCTCAGGTGAGTGGTTTACCTGATCCAATGGTGAAGAAGAAAGATAGAAAATTTACCCAATAATTTCTTCTGATTTATCGGAAACCAGGCATGTGTAATAGCCGTGTACAATGTACACTATTAACTGCCAAGAATGGTAATGAAGGAAAATTGAATTTTACCAAATCATAATGTTCAAACTTGTACACAATCACATACGTACCTACGACACATCTTGTATGTTCCACAGTTTTAGGGTTAGGTTTTATTTTAATTCAAACTACCAGTTATAATTTAATGTGTTTTTAATGCTCTAACTATTTTTTTATATATTATTTTGCATTTAATTTCAATAATCATTTATATGATCTACATACCCATACTAGAAGACTAGCTAAAATTAATTTCTTATCATCAAGCAATCCTTATCCTAATCGATTTTTTGAATAGGAGTAATTACGTTTAACTATAATCACTAGCGTTGTTTAAATCAAATATGATGTTTTAGATAATATCAACCAAGTAATTAATAATAATCTTGTTTCAGTCGATTTATCATGTATGTCACATTAATTTCCAGCATTATATACATGTCACAGCTTACAATCATGATTATTTTTTTAATGGAAGCCGTTATTTGTATTGAAAATAAAAAATATCAAAAATTATAATAATAGTTTACAATTATCATCATAAATTAAATATATAATTTATACATTTTCTAACGATATTGACAATTAAAAAAATTAGTCATTTTAAATCATACATGAAAAAAGGTTAAAAATCTAACCAAAAGACTCAAACAAAAAATTAATACGAACAAATCTGATTGCAATGACAAACGAACCACAAATATAATCAAAATATTAAAAGACCATCGAGAACTATAAATTAAAATCGAACGTCGTGATAATCTATTCACAAACTCAAAATTGGTCTCTATATTCAGTACGAAGGTACAGAGCAATAAATATCAGCAGAGGTTGAGTTTTGTTTTGTTTTCGCAGTATTGGCCTTTGCGATTGTTAAACCGCCATTAGAGATGGGGGGCTTGGACACGCCAGGTTGGGTATGGGACTCACATAGAAGCTTCACAGTGCGCGGTGCCTATAACAAACGGGAATTCATTGCTTGGGATCCCTTACCGCCTCTATAGAAGCTGATTTCAAAATATAGGGGATTGTGGCTATTTTGTCAACATTGGATTCTTTGGAATGAAGAAAGAGTAGGACGACAAATGACGGATGATGCAGGTTTTTTCGAGAATGCCCCCTTGCTCGCTCGACATGGACTGAACCAACTTTGTTTGGAGAATTCATGTCAACGGAGAAAGGGGATTGGATTCAACTAAATTTACAGCAGCCTCATTATTTCCCTATTATCCATGATGATTGGGATAGGAGTTGATATGGAAGTATGCTCATCACACATAATTGAGCTACTCAGGCGGGAATCGGGATTGGGTTTCAAATACGTGTTGAGGGAGGGAAATACGATTGCGGATGATTTGGACTTCAGGTATTTCAACGATCACCAGATGCGATTAAAAATTTGCTGATTGGAGGAGGTCCCTGCTGAATGTTGTTTTTTAGTTTTAAAGCTTCTTTAATGTTCTATTCCTTTTACATCATATATATATATATATTTGTTTTTAGTGACTTTGACTTCTTGATTCATTTATAATTTAATTCATTAATTCTGATTTATATTCTAGAATTTTCTATTTATATAATTCACCTTAAATTTAAAATACCTATATAAAATCACAATTACCATAGTTAACATTTCAATCATTTTCCTTTTTTTATTTAATAAAAATGATTGCAATTTTTAAAAATATTTGTTACTCAAAAATTATTTTTGTTTAAAAATTAAGAAAATATTTCTTTCACGATAAAATTTTCAACAACACACAGTTACCTACTTGAAACTTAGGTGGCGTTTGGTTCACTGGAATCCCTTGGAATTAGTGAGAATTTGAATCAAATTCCACAACTTTCCCATGATTGGTTCAAGTTTTCCAAGGGAATTGGAATCCCTCATAGCTTCAACTTTCCATCAAATGAGGGAAAGTGAATTCCATCCAAGAATGGATGGAATTCAATTCCTTGTTAGAGAGAATTGAAATTTGACCATACTACCCTCATCAATCTTTTGGTAACTTATTCATATATTGAATAAAAATATTTTTTTATTATTTCAGGTCGGGTCGGGTTTCTAATTCATATATTCGGGTTGGGTCGGGTGAATCTTTATTTTGGTTTGGTTTGGTCGGGTCGGTTTTTTTAAGTGTGATATTTGGGTCGGGTCGAGTTCGAGTTTAGGGTGAAAAATACCCGACCCGAAAATATATATAATTTTACCTTATATATTTAGGAATAATTACAATAATACCCCTCTCTATATATTTTTTTCAATTAAGTCACTATTTTTATTGAATAAAAATATTTTTTTATTATTTCGGGTCAGGTCGGGTCGGATTTCTAATTCATATATTCGGGTCGGGTCTGGTGAAACTTTATTTTGTTCGGGTCGGGTTTTTTAAGTGTGATATTTGGATCGGGTCAGGTCGGGTTCGAGTTTAGGGTGAAAAAAACCAGACCGACCCGAAAAAATATATAATTTTACCTTATATATTTATGAATAATTACAATAATACCCTCAATATATAATTTTTTTCAATTAATTCAATGTTTTTATTGAATAAAAATATTTTTTTTATTATTTTGAGTCGGGTCGGGTTTCTAATTCATATATTGAATAAAAATAGTTTTTGGTATATTTTTTGGTAACTAATTAACATACTCCGATTGGAACGTATCGAAATATTGCTCTATCTTTTGGTAACTTATTAACATATTTTGATTGCGATGATTTTAACTTGTGATGTTTATTAGCATGATTTTTATAATTTATTAAAATGAATAATCAATCAATAAAATGAAAATTTAATATTTTTTATTTTTTTAATAATATATTGCTACATATAAGTGGTAAAACAAACTAAAATAAAGCAAAAAAAACAAGAAGGACAATTCTGTCATTTTATATTATTGAAATCAAATTCATCTGACATGTCTACGAACCAAACAGAATATGGAATTGGATTCCAATTCCTGATAGATTTCAATTCTTTCACAGATTATAATTCCCTCAGAAACATTCCAGCGAACCAAACGCCTTAGTATCACGTTATTTTAAATCAACATATGGCATATGAAGGTCAAATGTTGCCTTTAACCTATCATAAATCAACTTTTATCTTATCTTTAAGGTAAAGACCTCAAAATCACGAGTCACTAAATTTAGGAGAATTATTTTATAAACTCTCCTCACCACATAGAATATAGTCTTAACCAATAAAATTAAAATATGTCAACATTTTTTTCTTAATCATCATTAATTTTGGGTTTAATTTTAATTAATTATTTATATCCGTATTAGAATTAAATTTCTCTTTTCTTCAACTTCTTGCGTCGATAATCACAATTACCCCTAATTTTAATTTCTACGTTTTCTGCATTATCTGGAGCTAAACAATGCTTTATAACCATGAATTAAATCAATCAGAACAACTCATCTTTCATAGCAGATGCCTGTAATTTCAAACTCAAAATCAAATATTGAAGAAAAAAAAGGAGAGTTTGGAAAATGAATCTGATGATATGATTTGATTAAGTACCCTGTTGTTCTTGGTTGCATTAGCAATGAACAAAGATATGTATATAGTTTCCGCAACACATCCAAAGGAGTTGATGGTGATGAACAGAAAAGCATTCTTTTTCATCATGGCGTAGTAAAACCATAGCATGGAGCTAAACAATGTCGCCTGGTAAGACGGTGACTGGAAACTCTCCGTTGATTTCTTTATGTATATTCTATAGAATAAGCGGTTAACATCGTTAATCCAAGGCTAACAGCCTTGCCCAAAGATGAAGCAATACATCTGTTGTTCGTCGCGATGCTATGCGTGCAAATGCTATCGGAGTTCCCTCGTCAACCTGAGCAGCAAACTTCATCGTCCAACGGTGACCATGGTGATTGTGGTTAAGAACATGGAGGAGTTCAGAGATTGAAGAAGAGGTGGAGATTTAATGTTGATATGGAAATAAATAAATAATTAAAAATTATGCCTAAATTTGATGATGATTAAGAAAAAATACTGACATGTTTTAATTTTATTGGTTGGGACCATATCTTATGTGGTGCGGAGGGTCTATAAAATAATTTCTTCTAAATTTAGAGATAGTAAAGAGGTAGATTAGAGGACTTGCGCCAGTTGTGGTTTGCGCCTCGTTAGAGGAGTATTAAAGCCCAATTTATTGGCCTTGTGAGTGCTTTTTGATAAGGGAGATTATAGGAAGGACCTATAGTGTAGTTATCCCATTTTGAGATATAAATCTGATTTTTTTAACCTATATATTGTGTTTAGCCGTGGGGTTTTGTTGGCCTATTAGGGTAACATGACCTCATTTCTTACTTTTTCTCGTAATTTGTGAAATTTATATTTAGATATAATAATAAATGATTATCCAGCTCAGTTGGTAGAACACAAGGTTCTTAATTTTGAGGTCGTGTGGGATCGAGTCCCATGGAGGGCATTTCATAATTCGGAGGTCTCCTACAGAAGCTGTTCTCAATCTAGTGTTGGGGCTAGCCTACTATCTTACCTCTCCCTTACCCCATTACATATGGGAACAAGGGACAACCAAACCATATTTAGATATAATAAATAATTATAAAATTCATTTTGAATATAGGGTCTGTTTGTTTGGTTGTAATTGGTTTTCTGAAAATTGAATTATGAAAAATGAATTACTGAAATTTGAATTTTAAAAAATGAATTACATTTCTAAAAAACGTTTTTCGAAAAATATTTTCCGTAAAATGAATTAAATTTTTATGAAAATTTTGAAAAATATTTTATGATGTTTGAAATATGTTGTTTAAAC